AGTTACTAAAAAAGTATAAGAAATATACCTATAATTATGTAGAAAGAGTTTAATTATGTTACAAAAAGGTATTATAAAGATTAAAAAAGACTTTAATGTTTAAGAAATTTTAATATTTGGTTGTATAGTAGAATTTTATAGTTTAACTGTGATGAGAATCAGCCGCAGTATTCACAGTCCAAAAAATGTGTTTAGAAACTTATTTGTGATAAAGAAATAAAATGTTATTAAATAATAATGTATACAGGGTATAAGGTAGATATGAATATTGAAACTTCTATTTGATATCTTCAGCGATTTTATACACCTTCAAAAGTAAATAATAAGACAGAAATTTTGTCAAAAAGATTTGTTAATATCGTTGATAAATCTTAAATGCTTACGAGATTTTAATATTATAGGTTCTAATAAAATTTTATGGTTTAATTGTGATGAGCATCATAGACAATATTCACAATCCAAAAAAGTATGTTTGGAAATTTTTATTGTGATAAAAAAGTATAACCTAAAACAACAAAAATAAGTGACATTAATATTGCAAGGGATATAACGTATAATTATACTAATTACGTGCATCGTTATAGTATAGTTTATATTAATCAAAAAATAACGTATATTATTCATATTATTATCATTATTAATAAAAACGAATTCATACAAAATATATTGCACAATTACATTGCTATTGACTATTAATATTAGCTATTAAATAAACATTAACATTCCAATAATTGAACCCGGCAATATTATCAATAATGTAATATTTAAAAAAAATAAAAGTATTTTTTTCAACATCTTTTGAAGATTTAATTAGGCATTTACTTTAATTCAGATTTTCAATAAAATTCTGAAATTAAAATCGTCAAAAACTTTCAATGCCTATTTAAAAAAAAATCTCTTAAAAACTTGTTTTTTAACAAATTATTAAATCAAAAACATAAAATAATTTTTGAGTCAGAAAAATTTTCAAAATTTAAAATCACGAAATTTTTGAAAATAAGTTGAACTCAAGAATACATTTTTAAAAATTATTTAAAACTATCGTTTGATTTAAATGAGAAATTAAATTTTTAATTAATTATCTACAGTTTGGAAACTTGAATTTTTAACTGTTTGGAATTTTGAATAATTGACTTTTTAATTTATTCAAATGTAGAAGAATTAATTGAGGCTTTTAAATAAGTAAGACTTACAATAATTAAAATTTGGAATGATTGATTTATTATTAATTAAAATGTGCAATTGAATTTTTAATTAAAAAAAGAAGAAGCATTCAGAAAATATTTTTATTTTTGGACAATATTAAAAAAGTTGCCTGACATATCCATGACTTCCCTGATCACTGGACACCCTGAAAATGATATATTTAAATTTACGCGCTGAAATTCTCTTCCACCTTTATGTCCTTTGACAGAAGCACACCATAAATAAATATAGTGCAAAAAATTTACAATTACATTATTTATTTTATTTTTTATTCATTTCACGTATTTTTCTCATATTCACATAATATTCGCATTAAATATTATAAAATACTCTTAACTAAATAAGTTTAAAAGCTAAATTATAGATAATAAATTTTAAAGTTGTGAATTTAAATTTAAACTTTCGCGCCATGTGATTAGGTGCGCGCACCTTCTTGCGAACCTCCAAGAAAACTTTTAGAAATTGATTATCTTTTATAATTTAAACCACCAAACGTCCAAAGTGGACTACCAAACACCACCAAACGACCACCAAACGATACCAAAAGGAATTTTTGAAAAATATACAAATTTGCAATGTTGCCGTGAAATTAGCACTCCAAACTTGAAATACTTATAACTTTTTTAATTTAGACCACCAAACGTTCAAAGTAGACTACCAAACACCACCAAACGACCACCAAACGATATCAAAAAGAATTTTCAAAAAATATTAATTTTTGGAGTGCTGATGTGAAGTTAGCACTCCAAAAATAATAATTTTTAAATAATTCTTTTTGGTACTGCTTAGTGGTTGTTTGGTGGTTTTTGGTAGTCAGCTTTGAAGGATTGGTAGTTATTAGTTAATTATTGAAACATACTTTCGAAATTTTTCTCAATTAACTCATTTTTATTTGTAAGGTGAAAAGATATATTCAAATTTTCATATAAAAAATATTTCTGAATACTATTTTGAAATGCAATTTGAATTTTCGCGCCAGTGGATCTTACGTAATAGCGAACGCGCTCTCTGATAAAAGTATTAGAAATGATTTATCATTTATAGTTTTGACCACCAAACCTCCAAAATTGACTACCAAACACCACCAAACGACCACCAAACGATATCAAAAAGAATTTTCAAAAAATATTAATTTTTGGAGTGCTGATGTGAAGTTAGCACTCCAAAAATAATAATTTTTAAATAACTCTTTTTGGTACTGCTTAGTGGTTGTTTGGTGGTTTTCGGTAGTCAACTTTGAAGGATTGGTAGTTATTAGTTAATTATTAAAACATACTTTCGAAATTTTTCTCAATTTACTTACTTTTATTTGTAACGTGAAGAGATATATTCAAATTTTCATATAAATAATATTATTATCTCAAACATTTTTTCCCCTTTTCTTAACAATAAACCTAATTAAATATAATTTTAGAACTTTTAATTTGTTTTTTAATGTATGTATTGTGGTTATCAATTTTTTTTTAAAGTTTCTATATTAAAAATATAAATAAATTTTAAAATAAAAATCTCATGATTAGTATTGTTAAATACTGTTTTCATAATAAATTTACTTGTGAAATTAAGAGAGTAATGGAATCAATCGTCGTAATTAACAAATTTAATTTTCCTACTATGACATAGTGCGCATTCATCTTTATTCACCTTGATGAATTTTTTAAAATTATAATTATATTTTATAAATTGAACTTCCAAACCTTGTGAAATGGCTACCAAACATCTCCATGCGATATCAAAAAGAATGTTTAAAAAATATTTCAATTTTTAAAGTGCTCATGTAAAATTTTTTGTCCAAAACTAATTATTTCAAAAATTTTTTATTGTTACTACTATATTTAATTATTATATGATTATATTTAATGAAATTCATACAAAATTTTGTGAAATACTATTTTTTAAATAAATTTACAAATGAAATTAGGAAAAAAATTAATAAGTTTAGAAATACAATTTGAATTTTCGCGCCAGAAGACTATGCGCATTCACAAACACGCACTCTTATAAAAGCTTTAGAAATAATTTATCTTTTATAGTTTTGACCACCAAATCTCCAAAATTGACTACCAAACACCACCAAACGACCACCAAACGATATCAAAAGGAATTTTCAAAAAATACTAATTTTTGGAGTGCTGTCGTGAAGTTGGCACTCTAAACTTGAAATCTGTATAATTTTTTCAATTTTGACCACCAAACCTCCAAACCTGAATACCAAACACCACCAAACGATTCCATACAACAAAATCTGTTTTCCTTATACTTGGTGTGCCAACTTCACGGGGCTCATTATTCTTTTTCAGATAATGAAGTCAGCTTACTCTGCATTTAATTTACTAAAAAACAGTTAAATATAGTTAAAGTTCAAAATATACAAATAAAAAGGAAATCAGAGAAGTGTTTATGTAAATTATAATTATATTATGTGTTATATTATATATCTTAATGCCATATCAGTTTTGTCAACTGTTTTTATATTTCGCATACACCGTAATTAAAAGTTGGTTAACTTGAAGAACACATTATTTGGACGATAATAAAATGACCTATATTGAAATGAATCATAATTTTTTTTGATTTGAAACATTGGACGATACATATTTAAAATTAACAGCAGTCGCCGTAGCTGTGGTGCGCAAATACCTGTCGAAGTAATTGCGCTGCAAGAATGGGGTCTCTCTTGTGACCAGGTAGTCAACAGAGTTCAATCCCAGTTATCTGTGAGCAACGAGCGATATTTTTTGTACAAAATTACCAATATTTTATTACATTTAAATATGAAATTTTTTTTTTTTTTTTATCGAAATTATATTTATATCTATAAATGATAATAAATTTTGTCCAAACAACCATAATTATTTAGATTCAATTGCTAACTTGAAATATTAAAAAAAAGAAAAAAATTAATTTTTGTTCTTAAACTAAAGAAAAATAAATTCTTCGCAAAAAAATATTGTGGCCCTGAAAAGGGCCGATTGTATTATCTTTTATATATGTATAACGCCGTTAAAAAAATCTACTTCTTAGCTGCAATTTTTTTTGGTTTCGTTGCAATTTCCTTAGGTACTTTTGTTTTCTTCGGAGAAACGGAAACCTTCATTTGACTAGCGGATTTAGCTTTTGGAGGTTTAACAACAATCTTGGAAGTCTTTTTCTCAGCAACAGGTTTCTTTAATTTTGGAGAAACATCAACTTTTAATTTTTTCATTTGCAACTTGCTCTCATCCGATAGTTTAAATGATCCGGAAGCACCTTTTCCTTTTGTCTGAATTAAAGAACCATTTGCCACTGCACTCTTTAAATATTTATTGATAAAAGGAGCTTGTCTTTTGATGTTAATAGTATAAGTCGCAGCAATGTACTTCTTGATAGATTGGAGACTAGAGCCGCTTCTTTCCTTGAGGTTGAAGATTGCAGAATTCACCATTTTAGATGAAGGAGGATGAGAAGACTTTTTCGAATTCGAAGCTGGGGTCGTCTTCTTTGACGATTTTACCGAAGTAGTATCAGCAGCCATGGTTAAGATATATTCGAATGCTTTAACACAAAGTAAAATAATTCTACAAAGAAATAAATTAAAATTTAAACAACTCGAAAATCAAAGTAAAAAATGTGGTGATCATACTATTGACACGCTATTTTATAGTCTCGTGAAAGGCTGATATCCCCCAGTTTTTGTAAGTAGCCAATCGGAATTAAGCTTCTCCCTCTCTTTTCTGCTCTTGTGCATATATGTATAAAAAAGTCCATTTTTAGCTTACGACTTATTATTTACAAACGCATCAACCCAAAAATATCACTAGAGATCATAGATAGATACGACTTATTATTATTTCAAAATAAAATTGATTAGTATTGAAATGGCTCGCACTAAGCAAACAGCGCGCAAGTCTACGGGTGGTAAAGCACCGAGGAAGCTAATTGCCACGAAAGTTGCAAAGAAAAGTGCACCTGCTACTGGCGGCGTGAAAAAGCCTCATCGTTATAGACCGGGTACTGTTGCACTGCGTGAAATTCGTCGTTATCAAAAAAGCACTGAACTACTTCTACGTAAAATTCCGTTTCAACGATTGGTTCGAGAAATCGCTCAAGATTTCAAGACCGATTTACGATTCCAGAGCACTTCGATTATGGCTCTTCAGGAAGCTTGTGAAACTTACCTGGTTGGTCTTTTTGAAGATACCAATTTGTGTGCCATTCACGCCAAAAGAGTTACCATCATGCCAAAGGACATGCAATTGGCACGTCGTGTTCGAGGAGAACGTAATTAAATTTATTTGCTTTTTTAATTTATAAATATTATAACAATCGGCCCTTTTCAGGGCCATCATATTTTTTGACGTGAGTTTTCTTTTGCAAAACATGTATTTTTATAAATGAAAAATTAAATTACAACTTAATGTTTCTACAAATTTTAGGAAAAATTCAAGCTCGTTTTACATAACCTTGAAGATATTAATGATAGTAAATGTACTTTTTAAATTTTTAGACAATTAATATTCATATTGAAAAAATAAAAAATGTATTTAATTTTCATAAACTACATGTTATATATACTTGATGAATTATTGTGCACATATCGTTTTAATTTAAAATTAAAACTTTCTTTTTTCCATTTTATAATTTAATTGATATTGAAGAAGTAAAATCAAGAACAATAAGAAATTCTAAGTAAAAAATATTTGTGGCCCTGAAAAGGGCCGATTGATATATGGATGTTTGCGCTGCTACAAAAATGAATGAATTTATTTCGAAGAAGTGTATTTAGTAACAGCTTTGGTTCCTTCGGAAATGGCATGTTTTGCTAGTTCACCAGGAAGTAAAAGCCGAACTGCAGTTTGAATTTCACGAGAGCTAATGGTGCGCTTCTTCGAATATTTTGACAGACGAGACGCTTCATTGGCAATGCGTTCAAAAATATCATTCATGAAACTATTCATTATGCCCATTGCTTTACTAGACATTCCAATGTCAGTATGAACTTGTTTCAGAACTTTATAAATGAAATATCCGTAGCTTTCACTTCCCTTACGCTTCTTTCTTTTTTTCTTGTCATCCTTGCTGACACTTTTCTTAACAAGAACCTCGTCAGACTTTTTCTTAATGGTTGTAGCAGCCACTTCACTATCAGTAGTAGCTGCAACTTTCGAAGTCGTCGTCTTCTTTTTCTTCATAATGAAAATTTTCTTTATAAAAAAAGCAGTAACTCAACTGGAATTCAAAAAACGTTGTTTTAAAAAAATTTGCACCTAAAACTGTCTTATTTATAGGCGAGGGAATACCGTTTTCTCCCACTTTCAATGAATCTGCAATGTGATTGGTCCAATGCAATGCTTCTACCCTTTCCGTGCGAGCAATATACTATAAATAGATGCGTTTTTGTTGGCAAACATTATTTTTCGAATAATATTTGAGTTGTTAGCATCATCAAAGTAATTGGTTAAGATGTCTGGACGTGGAAAAGGAGGCAAGAGTAAAGCTAAGCCAAAAAGTCGGTCATCTCGTGCCGGTCTTCAATTTCCTGTGAGTCGTGTTCATCGCTTTCTTCGTAAGGGGAATTACGCGAAACACATTGGTGGCGGTGCTCCCGTTTATCTCGCAGCAATTATGGAATATTTGACAGCTGAAATTTTAGAATTGGCTGGCAATGCAGCTCGTGATAATAAAAGGAGCAGAATTATTCCCCGTCACATTCAGTTGGCTATTCGGAATGATGAAGAATTAAATCAACTCTTATCTGGAGTGACCATTTCTCAAGGTGGTGTTTTACCGCACATTCATTCGGTTCTATTGCCAAAAAAAACTGAGAAAAAGGATCTCGATTAAATTCGAGCAAACAAAGTTTTATTTACATATCAATCGGCCCTTTTCAGGGCCTACAATTTTTTTAACAAGATAATGCTTTTGTACATTTCTACTTTTTTATGATTTATTTCTTTTATGCAATTGTTTAATGTCTAAATTAAATACTTTTTAACGTTGTAATGACATTAATTTTAGAAAATATTAAATCGAATTAGTTTTTAACCTATTTGAATCATCAAATATTGCTTTTGACAAATATAAATTTTTTAATGCAAAATCTAAAACAAAAAATAAAATAATCGGAAATTTCATTTTTTGCAAATAATTTAGATGAAATTTTTATTAAAATGAAATAAGAAAATAATTGTGATTCAAATTGAATTGGGAATGTAATTTTTTTAAATCATTTGCCCTTTATTTTAAACAAAATTTTTGAATTTTTCTAGACCTCACAACTTTTGTTTCATTATATTTTTTGTGGTTTTGGCTAGAAATATATGATAAGAGTGAAAGAGATTGATGATAAGATATCACTATTTCTTACTCGCATGTTTTTTTTCTTTTTCGCCTACGTGGTCTTGGTCGTATATGCCTTTACTTTTTTATCCTTTTCTAACGTACGTGTTGTCATGACAATACGTGCGTTAGAAAAGGACAAAAAAGTTTAGGCACATTTGGCTACGAGTTTACCTTTATTCTTAGCGTTTCACAATTTGGATGTTCTACTGTACAACATACTTCCGATCGGTACACTGACATCAGTGGACAGTTTCAGAAATAGTGTTTTAAAGAAAAAGTAAGTCATTTTTTCTATGCCCCTACTGCGCAACAAATTAGTAACTGTCGTTGTGTCGTGATACAAAATCAAATATGTTGTCAAATTATATTTCGCGAATTGTTTATAATTAAATAAAGTAAATGTCATTACATAATTGCTATCAACCAAAAAAGTGTATATAATTAAACTTATTTTTAATTGATAAGCACAATGACGACAATCAATAAATGGTAATATAAAATTTATTTTACTTTCTAAACAAATAGAAACTTTTACGGTTATAAACAATTTTCATAATTTTTCTTTTAACACTCTACAGTTCAATATTTATAATTTTTTGAATAGTTTTGATACATATATTTTAAATAATGTTATTCATGTTAGGTAAAAAAATGTTTCCTATTCCGGCACTAGCTATATCAAAGAAATTACTGGTGTTTGTTATTATTTTATTATTGATTATTTTTTTAATCTAAGAGAAAACTAAATTATTCGGATTTAAATTGAACGTAAGTAACGGTTAATGACAAAAGTTTCTAAAGCAATTTGATTATTATATTTAAAAAAATTTTAATTTAAAAATAATATTTTTAAAAATTTTCGCTTGTTTTAGTGATGAATGCTGCAAAAAACAGTCATATTTATCTTGGAAAGATTATTTCATGTCTGTAGCATTTCTTTCTGCAAAACGTAGTAAAGATCCGTGCAGTCAAGTTGGTGCTTGTATTGTTAATGAAGATAATAGAATCGTTGGTGTGGGATATAACGGATTTCCTAGAGGATGCTGTGATGATGATTTTCCCTGGACCAAAGATGAAGAAAATACCTTAGACTCAAAATATCTTTATGGTATCATTCATATTATTTAATGTTCCACTTTTTAAAAAATATGTCTTTTTATAAAAAAATATAAGAAGTAATAATAACGCGCTACGTGAAATTCGTTAAATTTGCTTAAATTTTTTTTTAAATATTCAGACAAAAAAATGTTATATTATCAATAAAGGTACTTTTTTCTATCACAGTAATTTTTAATTAATTTTTCAGTAGAAAGTAATTTTTATAATAGAAATATTTATGATATATTTGTGAAGTTAAAGAGTAAATAATACTTAAATTTATGAAAATATTAAATTGAAATAAAGAAATTAACTTCTAAATATAAATAAAACTATTGAAAATTATCAAATTAAAAGAAATAAAATCACTAATGGAAGGAAATTGTATTTACAAATTTCTAAAAACTTTTAATTTTATACAATAGTTTTTTCTATTATTATTAATAATCAAAATTTGATTTTCATTAGCAGTTTACTAATTTATTAAATATTTCAGTTTGCCATGCAGAAATGAACGCAATTCTTAACAGGAATTCGTATAATTTAAAAGAATGCACTTTATATGTTGCTCTTTTCCCTTGCAACGATTGTGCTAAATTAATTATTCAGTCAGGCATCAAGACTATTTTTTATGCATTTTGCAAAAACTTTAACGATGTCAGAATAATTGCATCCAAAAAAATGTTTGATGCTGCGAGTGTTAATTATAGGTATAACAAAGTATAAACATTTTTTTTTTTTCATAAAAGTTCACTAATTACTAATATTAAAAATGAATATAAATTTTCTTTTTTAAATTAATCAGAATTCATCCGAATTGGATGAAAAAATGTCAAACTATGTAAATATAAAAATTACTTTTTCGTTACCTTTATTCATATTCTTATATTATTTACTAAAAAAAATATTTTTAATAAACGAATATTTTGTTTTACTAAAAAAAAATTTTTCATTGATTTATTATTTTTTTAGTCAATACGTTCCAAATTCCAAAAAAATTGTGATAGATTTCACTGCCATTAATTTGGATCAAGTTGATCAACTGCCACCGTCTCCTCAAAAAGAGTTTGTACCATTTACTTTGAACTTGAAGATGATTTTCAAATTTATTTTCTAATTATTATGAAATATTGAATTTCATTGTCAACAATAATTTCTTTTTGCAGGAATGAAATTGTAAACAATTCTCTTTGTCAATCACCATTATTAAATAAAAATGATTTATTTATCTGTGATAAATTCCAGTCTGAAATGAAAATAAGGTGATTATTATATTTCATAATTTATAAAATATTATTATTAAATATTATTTTTTTGTTATGGGACATATAAAAATAAAAAATCCTAAAGAAAAAGTTTGATTTTTAGTGATACTGGTGCAGGAAGGCAATCATTTTTATCATGGGATGATTATTTTATGGGAATGGCGTTTCTAGCTTCCATGCGAAGTAAAGATCCTCACACACAAGTGGGCGCTTGTATTGTTAACGAAGAAAAAATAATTGTTGGAATAGGTTATAACGGATTTCCTCGAGGGTGCAGTGATGATGAATTTCCCTGGATGAAAAATCAACCGGATATGTTGCAGTCCAAATTCCTCTATGGTATAATAAATATTTTCTTTGCTCCTATTTAAATTTTCGTCGCCTCTATATAATAAAAATAAAAATAAATAATAAAAAAATTAAAGCATTAATAATTTAGTTAAAGTTGAATATTTTCTCGATTAATGAATTATTTAACAATAATTTATTATAATGACAATTTTATTTCGTACAGTTTGCCATGCAGAAGTGAATGCAATTTTGAACAGGAATTCGGAAAATTTAAAAAATTGTACAATTTACGTTGCTTTGTTTCCGTGTAACGAATGTGCTAAGATAATAATTCAATCTGGGATAAAGAAAATCTTATTCTTATCCGACAAGAAGGCACACAAAGTTGGGACGATAGCTTCAAAAAAAATGTTAGATGCCGCAAAAGTGGAATACAAGTATTTAAATTATTTCAATTTATACTATTAATATCATTTTTTAAGTTTTCTAGTTTTTATTATTTTCTTTTTCTTTCATAAAGACAACAGTTATTAATATTATATTAAATATATGTTTAATTAAATTATTTTTACAGGCAATACGTGCCCAAGAACTTAGTGATGGAAATTGACTTTCCTCAAATTGAAAATTAATATACGAGAAATCTTTAAAATATCTCTGGATCTTCTACACATTCAGAGTTACGGATTGTTGACATTCATAATTATGATGTTTGTATCAAATTGAGAATATATTAATTCTCAGAAACTGTATTTTTTGTACCAAAAAAAAGTGGATATAAAAAGCTATTTTTTTCAAATTGAAAAAAAGAGTTAAATATTAAATATATAATTTTGTTAATTAAAATAAATGTATTTAAAGTATTTAACAAACTTTTATACCATAAGGTAAATTTCTGCAATTTCAAATTGGAAGTTTAAATATTGTTACAAGATTAAACAATTATTTTGTAAAAAGAATACTACGACTTTGTTTAAAATAAAGAATGGCAAACGATTGAAAAAATTACATTTATGTTTCCATATCATTATTTCAAATATTATTTATTTGATATATTTAATAAGGAACCATGTAAAAATATTTTATACCTATGAGAAAAATAATAAATTAAACAAAAAATATTTATAAATAATTACTGCATTATGTTGAAAAATCCAAAACTCCTTCAGAGTATAAAGATCTTTTAAAAAATATTAAAATTGTATAAAAATAATAAACTTTCTTTTTAAATACTATATTTATTTACTTAAAAACAAAGAAAGGCTCAAAAAGTTAAATTAATAAATTACAAGAGATACTTTATAATTGCAATTAAAATATATTTTTAATTTATCTAATTTAATACGTTTATATTGAAATTCCCAATTCAATTTGAATCACAATTATTTTCTTAATTAATTTTAATAAAAATTTCATCTAAATATTTCCGAAAAAATGAAATTACCGATTATTTTTTTTGTTTTGTTTTAGATTTTGCATTAAATAATTTATATTTGTCAAAAGCAATATTTGACGATTCAAATAGGTTAAAAACTAATTCGATTAATTATTAATGTCATTACAACGTTAAAAAGTACTTAATTTAGACATTAAACAATTGCATAAAAGAAATAAATCATAAAAAAGTAGAAATGTACAAAAGCATTATCTTGTTAAAAAAATTGTAGGCCCTGAAAAGGGCCGATTGATATGTAAATAAAACTTTGTTTGCTCGAATTTAATCGAGATCCTTTTTCCCAGTTTTTTTTGGCAATAGAACCGAATGAATGTGCGGTAAAACACCACCTTGAGAAATGGTCACTCCAGATAAGAGTTGATTTAATTCTTCATCATTCCGAATAGCCAATTGAATGTGACGGGGAATAATTCTGCTCCTTTTATTATCACGAGCTGCATTGCCAGCCAATTCTAAAATTTCAGCTGTCAAATATTCCATAATTGCTGCGAGATAAACGGGAGCACCGCCACCAATGTGTTTCGCGTAATTCCCCTTACGAAGAAAGCGATGAACACGACTCACAGGAAATTGAAGACCGGCACGAGATGACCGACTCTTTGGCTTAGCTTTACTCTTGCCTCCTTTTCCACGTCCAGACATCTTAACCAATTACTTTGATGATGCTAACAACTCAAATATTATTCGAAAAATAATGTTTGCCAACAAAAACGCATCTATTTATAGTATATTGCTCGCACGGAAAGGGTAGAAGCATTGCATTGGACCAATCACATTGCAGATTCATTGAAAGTGGGAGAAAACGGTATTCCCTCGCCTATAAATAAGACAGTTTTAGGTGCAAATTTTTTTAAAACAACGTTTTTTGAATTCCAGTTGAGTTACTGCTTTTTTTTATAAAGAAAATTTTCATTATGAAGAAAAAGAAGACGACTACGAAAGTTCCAGCTACGACTGATAGTGAAGTGGCTGCTACAACCATTAAGAAAAAGTCTGACGAGGTTCTTGTTAAGAAAAGTGTCAGCAAGGATGACAAGAAAAAAAGAAAGAAGCGTAAGGGAAGTGAAAGCTACGGATATTTCATTTATAAAGTTCTGAAACAAGTTCATACTGACATTGGAATGTCTAGTAAAGCAATGGGCATAATGAATAGTTTCATGAATGATATTTTTGAACGCATTGCCAATGAAGCTTCTCGTCTGTCAAAATATTCGAAGAAGCGCACCATTAGCTCTCGTGAAATTCAAACTGCAGTTCGGCTTTTACTTCCTGGTGAACTAGCAAAACATGCCATTTCCGAAGGAACCAAAGCTGTCACTAAATACACTTCTTCGAAATAAATTCATTCATTTTTGTAGCAGCGCAAACATCCATATATCAATCGGCCCTTTTCAGGGCCACAAATATTTTTTACTTAGAATTTCTTATTGTTCTTGTTCAGAATTATTAAATTTTACTTCTTTAATATCAATTAAATTATAAAATGGAAAAAAGAAAGTTATAATTTCAAATTAAAACGGTATGTGCACAATAATTCATCAAGTATATATGAAGGGTAGAATAACAAAAGGGGTCAAGCGCCAATTAACTGTTTTTACAGGAAGTAAAAAAAACATTTTTAAAAATTTTGCAGGTCATTTAAAAAAAAAACAGAAAACCGTTTCGATATATTAGTATGTTTTAATAAATAAACAATTTGTTGAAATAAACCTACATATTAACGATAAAATTAAAAAAATCTGTGGTGCCTTGAGGTTATATCAACTGCGCACATTTTCTTTAAGCATTAATTATAAAAAAAAAAAAAAGTTTAAAGAAAAACTGGAAAATTAGTTTCTTTCTATGGAATCGACGAAATGAATAGAAAAAAAATTCCTTTAAAAAATTGTTTGTTTTCAAGAAAATTACGAATTAATTGCTTGCTTTGGAATTGAGCAATACTTTCATCTTTAAATTCAATTGTTCACTTAGTATAATCATAAAAATATATAAAAATTAATAACGAAATGATTTTAAAATTGTTTAAAATTGAAAATACATTATTATTATTAATTTTATTAATTAAAATATTATTAAAATAAAATTAAAATAAAACCTAAAAAAATAATATTTTTGATCAAAATTGAACACCACTTTCTTTTGTTTTTCAATCAGGTTGCAATAAAGTAAATTTGAGGCTATTTTATTAATTTAATTTTTATTAAAAACTGATATAAATACGTAATAAAAAAGGAAATCCTTCTACAGAAATGTGTAATGAATTTTCTTGATTTTTTAATGCAAGAACCTCATTTTTGATAAATTGGCGCTTGACCCCTTTTGTCATTCTACCCTTCATATATAACATGTAGTTTATGAAAATTAAATACATTTTTTATTTTTTCAATATGAATATTAATTGTCTAAAAATTTAAAAAGTACATTTACTATCATTAATATCTTCAAGGTTATGTAAAACGAGCTTGAATTTTTCCTAAAATTTGTAGAAACATTAAGTTGTAATTTAATTTTTCATTTATAAAAATACATGTTTTGCAAAAGAAAACTCACGTCAAAAAATATGATGGCCCTGAAAAGGGCCGATTGTTATAATATTTATAAATTAAAAAAGCAAATAAATTTAATTACGTTCTCCTCGAACACGACGTGCCAATTGCATGTCCTTTGGCATGATGGTAACTCTTTTGGCGTGAATGGCACACAAATTGGTATCTTCAAAAAGACCAACCAGGTAAGTTTCACAAGCTTCCTGAAGAGCCATAATCGAAGTGCTCTGGAATCGTAAATCGGTCTTGAAATCTTGAGCGATTTCTCGAACCAATCGTTGAAACGGAATTTTACGTAGAAGTAGTTCAGTGCTTTTTTGATAACGACGAATTTCACGCAGTGCAACAGTACCCGGTCTATAACGATGAGGCTTTTTCACACCGCCAGTAGCAGGTGCACTTTTCTTTGCAACTTTCGTGGCAATTAGCTTCCTCGGTGCTTTACCACCCGTAGACTTGCGCGCTGTTTGCTTAGTGCGAGCTATTTCAATATTAATCAATTTTATTTTGAAATAATAAGTCGTAAGCTAAAAATGGACTTTTTTATATATGCACAAGAGCAGAAAAGAGAGGGAGAAGCTTAATTCCGATTGGCTACTTACAAAAACTGGGGGATATCGGTCTTTCACGAGACTATAAAATAGCGTGTCAATAGTATGATCTCCACATTTTTTACTTTGATTTTCGAGTTGTTTAAATTTCAATTTATTTCTTTGTAGAATTATTTTTACTTTGTGTTAAAGCAATCGAATATATCTTAACCATGGCTGCTGATACTATTTCGGTAAAATCGCCAAAGAAGACGACGACCCCAGCTTCGAAATCGAAAAAATCTTCTCATCCTCCTTCATCTAAAATGGTGAATTCTGCAATCTTCAACCTCAAGGAAAGAAGCGGCTCTAGTCTCCAATCTATCAAGAAGTACATTGCTGCGACTTATACTATTAACATCAAAAGACAAGCTCCTTTTATCAATAAATATTTAAAGAGTGCAGTAGCAAATGGTTCTTTAATTCAGACAAAAGGAAAAGGTGCTTCCGGATCATTTAAACTATCGGATGAGAGCAAGTTGCAAATGAAAAAATTAAAAGTTGATGTTTCTCCAAAATTAAAGAAACCTGTTGCTGAGAAAAAGACTTCCAAGATTGTTGTTAAACCTCCAAAAGCTAAATCCGCTAGTCAAATGAAGGTTTCCGTTTCTCCGAAGAAAACAAAAGTACCTAAGGAAATTGCAACGAAACCAAAAAAAATTGCAGCTAAGAAGTAGAGATTTTTTTAATGGCGTTATACATATATAAAAGATAATACAATCGGCCCTTTTCAGGGCCACAATATTTGTTTGCGAAGAATTTATTTTTCTTTAGTTTAAGAACAAAAATTAACTTTTTTTTTTTAATATTTGAAGTTAGCAATTGAATCTAAATAATTATGGTTGTTTGGACAAAATTTATTATCATTTATAGATATAAATGTAATTTCGATAAAAAAAAAAAAAATTTTATATTTAAATATAATAAAATATTGGTAATTTTGTACAAAAAATATCGCTCGTTGCTCACAGATAACTGGGATTGAACTCTGTTGACTACCTGGTCACAAGAGAGACCCCATTCTTGCAGCGCAATTACTTCGACAGGTATTTGCGCACCACAGCTACGGCGACTGCTGTTAATTTTAAATATGTATCGTCCAATGTTTCAAAACAAAAAAAATTATGATTCATTTCAATATAAGTCATTTTACTATCATCCAAATAATGTGTTCTTCAAGTTAACCAACTTTTAATTACGTAACCCTTTCTTGCAGAATATTGAATTTTATGATATCAATAATATGCGAAATATAAAAACAGTTGAGATTTTTTTTGGTATTTAAATGTTTTGAAAAAGTTGCTATTTTGTCGTCCGTTTTATAAAGTGTTTCCAAGTGTTTCATTTTTTATTGAGTAAGTCGAAAGAGTGTATTAACTTGAATTCTTTGAACATTAAAAGATTCTGACGTATAATTTTCATGGCCCTGAAAAGGGCCGATTGATATTCTTTTAAAGATTAAAAAATTTCAGTGCACATTATTTTTTCCATTATTTTTGTATCTGGGGTTAAAAAATATATTAACCTTCAAAACCGTACAATGTGCGACCTTGTCGCTTCAAAGCATAAACGACATCCATAACTGAAACTGTTTGTCTCTTGGCATGTTCGGTATATGTTACAGCATCGCGTATAACATTCTGGAGGAAAATTTTAAGAACGCCACGAGCCTCCTCATAAATTAATGCAGAAATTCGTTTAACTCCACCACGACGAGCTAAGCGACGAATATCCCCTTTAGTAATTCCCTGAATGTTGTCACGAAGCAAGCGATGACGCCTTGTACCTCCTTTACCCAAACCTTTACTTCCTTTCCCATGACCACTCATTACAACACAAAATAATAAGACTTTAAAATTTTAAAGAATTAAAAAATTTTTTTTTACTTTTTATACGTTCTTTTATAGTCTCTTTGTAAAACGGTTTCCCCCATAATTTACTACCAACCAATCACATTTGTATTTTTCCCCCCACCATCAATGGAAATATAAGAGCTAAGTTGAAAAATTGACGCGCACGCGCAATGATGTGCGACAAGCTTGAGCAGGCTTTTTAGTAATCTTTATTATATTATTATTAATAGATTTTTAAAATTATTTTTAGAAATATTTCAATTTGAAATTTTTTTCTAATTTTGATATTAAGTTAATATAAAGTTAATTAATAAAATTTGCTCGAAAGTTTGCGATTATATTTTTACAACACAAACAATTTTTGGTAACCACAAAAACTAGATTTTGTTTTTGTCTGTCTTACAGAAAAGACGTGTTTAATATTTATAAAAAATATATATTTAAATTTATTCAATATTATTCATATATACATTTTCATCCTGTGAAAAGAAATCTTTTTCCTTAGTAAACAAAAGCAATATATTTTTGGCTGATTTTGACTTCAGTTTTGGAGGGCAAGATGATTTCTATGAAATATAGACATGCGAAAATGTTTACATAAAATATTAACAGATACCTAAATTCTTCACACTGGTTGCTAATATTGACTATTAACTATGAATTTTAAATATAATTAACTGTATTTTAGTAAGTTAAATGCAGAGTAGGCTGATTTGATTATCTGAAAAATAAAAATAATGTATCATTACACACGCGAATGACGAGTATGATAAAAACACAGCAAACTCATCAGCTGCAGGGAAATTAACTGTAATTAAATTATTAATAGATTAATACCAATTTGATACAAACTTTCACAAAAGTTTCTATTGACATGACGATTATTGATGCAGCAGTCAACTTAATAGGTCTTGTAGTTTGCATCATTATAGTTACAAGACTTTTTTTCATGTTAATCGTAAATTCATCCCAATTTACGAAATAAACTGACATCCCAATATCTAAACTCTAAATACAATAGAAATTTATTAAATCTTTTAGTAAAATTTTTATAAATAAAAATAGTAATTAAATAATGACATAAAAGAGTTTACCTATATAATTATTATTTTTACAAAAAATATTTTTAAGCCCAAAATGTTTAAATAGTAAATATAATTTTTGTAAATCTATTTTTTGTATGAATTACCTTTTCCGTCACTTTATCACCGTAAAAACAATATATAAAGATCTGGAAAGTGTAACTGCATAAAGCAGTTATCATCATCCAACTATCACCATTGCTTAAACTCATTTTCGATAAATTATAAATAATGACACATAAGGTAACCATAGAAGCGAAAAATTGTACAAAAATCACCGCTCCAAATTGTTTATTTACATTCTCTCCAATTCTGTGAAAATTAATATACACAAACTATATTACATTATAAAATCCAAAAAATGGTTCCAAACATTTCTTAAAATAAAATTTTAACTTTAATGAACATTTGAATTTGATTTTTGATCACACAGTAAAAAAATGGACCTACTTGTTTTATTATAAAACTATCATAAATGTTAAAAACGACAAAAAAAATTCTATATTTTTCAAAAAATTAAAAACCTGTATGGTTTAATTAATTAAAAAAAATTAATTAATAATGATTAAAAATTTCTTTTCTCTACGTGAAAGAAGAATAATAATATATATAGAATAATTGTGAGTAATTAAATGTAACTCACGAATGTATATGACGATGATGCTTTAGGCAACTGATAATATCAATTTTTTTATGATCATCAACAGAAATAAATTGACTAATTTTCCCAAATTGAGAAAGCAAATCTAACCGATAAATTATTATTTCGAGTTGAGCGCAAATACGTAACATGACTGTTAATGCTAAAGCATCCATGCCAACACAAATAAATATTATCATAATGCAACAAATCACTTGATGCAAATATGCTAGAGAATAAACAAGTGTAGATTCTTGTGAAAATGGTAACCAGTATGGAATTGGAAGAATCATATTTGGCATCGAAGCTAATGGCAACAACATCACCATTGTTCCTGTGGTACAAACCATTAAAAAATAATAAATCGAATTTCTCCTATAAAAATAAAATTCAACAGTAACTGTCAAAAAATGTACTAAATAGCACTTTTAGTGCAATAAAAAAAATGTATATGGGCATATCTTTGAAACCTTTAACTTTTCAATAAGAAAAAAAATTTTTTTTTTTTTGAGCACAGTATTGAAACTTTGTCTACATAAACTTCAAGAACTAAGCTTTCCAATTATACAAGTGGACAGATAAAACAAGTTGTCTTCAAAAAGTTATAAATATTTAAAATTGAGAATTATTTTTAACCTGTAACAAAAAAATATTCAACAGGTGTTTGCTTTTTAGGATAAAAAACAGTTGAAGGGAATTTTCTAAGGGGTTATAATTTTAAAAAGCAATAAAATTCGTTTAATATTTTCAATATTTATATGAATAATAAAATACTGAAATAATGCACTGGGTATAAAAGCATGTGTCAAAAATTAACTAGATATATAAATTTTTTATTTGAATATTTACATTACATTTTAAAGTAGATTTTTATTATAATGAATTGTTTTAAAAATGTAAAATTGTAATTTTTAAAATTTACCATACGATTTTCATAGACTTTTTTCTATTTAAATTTAATATTCGTAAACTTTCCAATTTCTTTTCTCTTTTTTTATTTTCTACTTTTCTTTTCCCTCGCATCTTATCTTTTTTCAGAATGAATTTTTTTGGATCCATTTTTGTGTCTCGAAATAAACGTTAAAACTTAACCTTCAGGTTTTAATAATTAATGACAGTTTCTATAAAAAAAAATTATAATCGGCAACTTCGTACATAACAATTTCTTTCTAAAAAATTTCGGTCGATTACGGTCGACCGTAATTGATGAATATTTTTACATTATCTTTGCAATAAAGTATTTTTTCTCGAAGCACATTCACGGGATGTTAAATGGCACATGTGAAAATATATACAAGTACTTTTCGAATACTTTTATATGATTTTCATCAAGTATCACTCGTATTACGGTTGTTTTCAAATTTTGTCCACGCGTGTTTTCGTTTACTTAACTTATAATAGTTTTTTGAAGACATGAAGCACATCAATTTATTATGTCTCAAAATAATTATAGTAACTTGATCTTTGATTTCCCATAAGTTATTTTAACGTGCCGCTTGTCTTATAAAAGAAAAATCATAAATACGATGATTACGGTCTAAAAGGTTAAAAGTGAGGGACAACTTTTAAAAGCTTATAAATTTTTTCACAATTAATAAAATATTAATTTCCCTGCGAAAATGTGTTCACCGATTAATTAACATTGAAAAAACATATTTCAGAATTAGCAATTTTTATTAAATCTAAAACTATATCCTTTAAAGCATCAGAAAGTATGGTTAAGGACAAGTAGACATTGTTAAAAATCGCGTATTAAAATTGAAATAATTGTTTATGTATTTAATAAATTAAAGTGGAATCTTTTGGAAATGATTGATTGTATCAAGCATTAATATTTCCAACAAAAACCAACGAAAAATTTATTAAAATTACCAAAATATATGCGAGGGACATTAAAGTTAAAGGTTCTAGAGATATGCCCATATTAATCTGAATAGAGAAATCATTTAACATTATAATCAGATTTCCTTTTCAATAATATGTTCGAAAAAAGAATGATTAATAGAATTTTTTGTGAGTGTAATATATATTAATGCACCTTCCTCTTCGTGAACAGTTTTGTAATATTTCATTCTCGTGAATATCCTGAGGTCGACACATCTCAGACAAAAACATTTCATCTGTCTTTATAAATATTTTACGTTTTCTTGTAATAATAATCTGTTTAATAAAAGTGGCAAAAGTTGTGAAGAAATAAAAAACAATTTGTGCAAAAGCTTCGACATTTTCATGTCTCTGAAACATATAAATAAACAGAAATGACGTAAATACAATAAATGATAACATAGTACACATGGAATAGAATCGATAAAGAATTAACTTCCATTGTGATGTATGTTCAGATGGTTTCCATATTCCCGATAATTTAAACAGTGTATATGAAATTTCTCCTGTGTATATTTTTTCTTTATTTTTGCCAGACATTATCTGATGTAATAAGTAGCCATTTTTTAAAAAATATCAAATTTCAAAGCTAGATTTAGTAAGTTGAAGTTTTTTAATATACCTACATGTATATAAGAAATGATTCTTTCATGAAGTTGAGATATACATATGTGTTCCGAAAAAAGGCTTTTTAAAGACTGTTAGATATACATTCTTCAAAGATTTTGTCTCGCCCCCCCACTCTTCAAAACTTGGTAATAAATAATTCCAGAGCAATTTTTGTTGCAAGAAATATGAGAGAAAAAAATATTCTATTGTAATCGACTCACTATCAATAATTCCGAATGTATTTTGCAAGAGTTTCGTCTCATTGAAACTACTGTATTATTTGAAATTGATTTCTGCTTACTAAAATAAACTAAGTAGTAAGTATGCATAAAATTTCTCCCTCTTCATATTTTGGACAATTTGCATAATAAAATATTTTATTGTAGCAAAATGAATAGAAATAGTATATTAACTTTTTTGCGTGACTATAGGAAATAAACAGAAATGTTTTGTTAATAAATAACTGTATTTTATATGATATAAAAAGAATAAATTGCCTCAATTTTCTTATATTTTATCATCGAAGTCCTGTAGGTAACAGAAAATTATATGTTGAGTGTAAATGGAAATATGAATTTAGGTATATACATAACACTCTTCGTCGTAAAAATGGAACAAACTGAATTGGCATAAGATGACGCTCACTTCATAAATAATTATTTTAAGGTATTAATAAAATAAGTTTCCTATAGAAACTGTTTTAATTTTAACAATTTTCTATATTGTTTATTTTCAAATTTTTAAAAAATTTCCAATATTACATTTTCACAACAGGAAAAAAGTTTTAATCGCTCAAAAACACTCGGAAAAAATGTTAGTCTCACTCAATATTCTATTTTTTATTATCTTTAAATAACAAAAAAAAAAAAACAATTTACATTTCAAAAGTATTGCAGTGCAAGTGTTAAGAATTTAATTTTTAAAAATTGGAAATTGAATTTTCAATAAAAATTACAATTTTCTGACAGTAGAAAACGATTAACCTAAATTTTGACAATCATAATTATTTACTATTAGAGCTTTTGTTTAGGCCCTACCGTAGTGAAGTTTGCCTGTATTTTGCTTGAAATAATAAATTTGATTCTCATAATGCACAAGTTTTTACTTTTAACCAAATATAATATTTAATCCAATAATTCATATGCTTTACCGTATGATAATTGCAAAAGCACACGTTTAAAATTTTTTAATTTTTCAATAAGTTATAACCCGTATAGGATGTTTTTATTATCTGAAAATAGAATTTTTTTTTTGTGAATTACAAAAAAATATTAATTTATTAAAAAATGCAATCAAATTGCAAAAATAAACTGCGATACCAACTTTCATGAAAGTTTCTAACGACATGACGATGACTGATACAGCAATCAATTTGATTGGTCGGGCAGATCGCATCATAATAATAATAAGACTTTTCTTTGTTTTAAGTGTTAATGCATGCCAATTTATGAAATATATTGCTGTCCCAATTTCCGAGCTCTATATGCATATATGTATAGCAAAATAAAAAATTTTTAGAATTTAAAAAAATATATAATAATTATATGTAGGTAAATAAAAATGGACTATATATTTTTTGATAAGATAATAAATTTTTTATTATATATGTATATATATATATATATGTATAAATGGAATTAGAAACATAAATTGTCCAATTAAAAAATGTTTTAAATTAATTTGTAATTACCTTATCGGTCATTTGATGACCAAAATAACAGTAGATAAAAATTTGTAAGGTAAAACTGCTTGCATAAGAAATCATTAACCAACTATGCTCATTGGTTAAACTCATTTTGGATAAATTATAAATAATGATACAGATAAGTATCATAGAAGCAAAAAATTGCATAATAATTAAGCTTCCAAATTGTTTGCTTATATTTTCACTAATCCTGTAAAGAATAAATATAATAAAATAATAAAATCTTTTCATTTAAAATTAAAAACGGCCCTTATGACCAGGTGCAACTCGTCAAATGTAAACAAACATGAAAATGTACGTAATTATTGACAAATTTGCGACAGCCTTTTTTTAAAATAGAAAATAAAAATTGTTCTTTTTCTATATGTAAAAATGGAAAATTCATATATAAAACTACAGCCTGACACTGTATTTGACTAATAATATGAATGATATTAATAATTATAATAAAATGAAAATTACACTGAAACAACAATTTTCTTAAGATTACGACTTGAAAATATCTTTATTATCAAATAAAATAACATTTATACATAGTACAGTTCATAACTTAAAATTAAGATTACGAAAAAAAAAATCATTTGAGTATATCTGAGGCACGGACGTTGTGAACCTAGGTGGGAGAAAGAGTTGAGCGATTGGACGGTCACATCTTGGAAAGGGTAAAATTCTGAAATTATACCCCCACCAGAGGACAGAGAAAGGTCTTTTACCCCTTTCCACACTATTTCTCCCATCTAGGTTCTCAACTTCCGTGCCTCAGATATACTCAAATGGTCATTTTTTCGTAACCTTGAGAAAATTGTTGTTTCAGTGTAATTTTCATTTTATTATAATTATTAATATTATTCATATTATTAGTCAAATACGGTGTCAGGCTTTAGTTTTATATATGAATTTTCCATTTTCACATTGAAAAAGAACAATTTTTATTTTCTATTTAAAAAAAGGCTGTCGCAAATTTGTCAATAATTACGTACATTTTCATGTTTGTTTACATTTGACGAGTTGCACCTGGCCTTATAGTTTCAAAATTCTTTCAATTTGAAACGTATCTTAAAATAAAATTTTTTTTTGCATTCCAAAAAATTGATAAAACTTACGCGTACAAATGAAGATGATTTTTTATACAACGTTTAGTAATCTCTGTTTCATGATAGCAATTGACTAATTTATTATTATTACTTTGTGGTAGCTTTGAAAGTGAATCGAAACGATACATCAATATTTCCAATTGACCACACATTTGTAATAGAATTGACATTGCTAATGTCTCCATTCCCCCATTTATATTTACAACGACGAAGACACAAATTATTTGTTGCAAATATAATAAAGAAAATACAAACTTAGATTCAAAAGAAAACGGTATCCAACATGGGATTGGAAGGCTTATATTTGACAGCGATGTTAATGGCAACATTAAAACCATTGTTCCCGAAATATGTACTCCTATCAAATGATAAAAGGAAAGTTTCCTATGACAAAATTATTTAACAATTATTTTTCTACCATTTCGTTAAACGGAGTAACTTTATAAGTCGATGGTTCTTAAAATCTTTTACTGTTATTAAAAGAATTTTAATTAATTTATTTATTATTTAATATAATAAATCACCTTCCTTTCAGCGAGTAATTAAACAAAATTTCGACTTCCCAATGATCCTGAGGTCGACAAACTTCAGACATAAGCATTTCTTGTGTTTTCATAAATATTTCACGTTTCTTTAAAATAATTACAATTTTTATAAAAGACATTACAAATGTTGAGGAATAGAATAAACTTTGTGAAAATGCATCGTTATCTTTATGTTTTTGAAATAGATGCATGCAAATGGAGCACGTAAATATAAAATACATTGTTACAATACAAAAGGAATAAATTCGATAAAAAATTAACTTCCATCTTGTGGTACATTTAGGTTGTTCCCATACTCCACAAAATTTAAAACATGTAAATGATTTTTGACCCGTGTAAATTTTTCCCCTATTGTCGTCAGACATTCTATACGTTACAGCAGTATATTAAAAGTTAGAAAAATTTAAAATTTTTATAAATAAATTTTTTTAATACTGCTGAATACTTTTTTCTAAGAACTTGTGTTATCCTTACTCTCAGAAACTTATTAGTTAATAATTCAGAAGCAATTTATAAAGCCATCATCAAATATATAATCTAAGAAATATTCTATTATGAGCATCTCAATATTAATAATTCGAAATATCATTTACAAAACGTTTTGTCTTGCTCCAGCATAACTATATTATTTCCAATTGATTTTACGTATATTTTTTCCTTCAAATGTAACAAATAAGAATATATAACAAGCATTGCGCCCTATACACATATAGCTCAGACAATTTGCATATTAAAACATTTCAGTCTCGTAAAATGTTGCAAAACACATAATTTATTTTTTTTTTGCGTGACTACCAAGTAGAAAAATACGTTAAACCTTTTTTCAGCATTTATCGTATAGGTATTATTTGATATAAATAATAATTTTCGTCAATTTTTTTTCTTTTATTTTATATTCGAAGAAAAGTAGATAATGAAGGATTTACATATATAATGTTCGTAAATTGACGGTATAAATATATTAATGTAGACTTGCGCAGAATGATAATATGTCCTTTGTCGCAAAATAGTGCGTGCAGAGTCTACTTGAAGCTGGAGACATAAACATTTTTATTTTACAAGGGTTAGTCCACTGACTTTCGTCTAATAGTGGTTGCGACTAAATTTTTAAAAAATCTAGTTTTAATATATGTGAAACTCGATGATTCCCTGAGTTCATTAACCATAATATTATGGTAAAAATTTTATTCCCTTTAAAAATATTAAATATCAAAAGTAGGAGGTTCACAATGTGATTTTGTAACCTTAAATTTTTCAATTTTTTTAAAAACGCTATTATTAAAAAACTATTAAAAATTAGATGTTGGAACTCACCAAAAATATAAATCACTTTATTCTGCACAGAGGAACGAAAGAATTATTGCAAAAATTTATTATTTTTGGATGATATACGATTTTAAACAAAATTTTATTTAAATATTCTCAAGATTTTTATTTACTTATAACTTTTTTGTCGGTGCTCCGAAAAAATTGAGGTTTTGCACAAAGATTTTTTATAATATTCTTTACCTTCTATTAAAATCTTACGAAGGTTTTTTGCTTCGTTTTGGAGATATTAATTTTCAAAATTTATTATTTAAAAAGGTTAATTAAAAGACTTGAAGTTAACTGACCAAATTCAAATCGCTACATTTTTTATAAAAATATATTAAAATGTAGCGATTTGAATTTGGTCAGTTAACTTCAAGTCTTTTAATTAACCTTTTTAAATAAAAAATTTTGAAAATTAATATCTCCAAAACGAAGCAAAACACCTTCGTAAGATTTAAATAGAAGGTAAAGAATATTATAAAAAATCTTTGTGCAAAACCTCAATTTTTTCGGAACACCGAAAAAAAAGTTATAAGTAAATAAAAATCTTGAGAATATTTAAATAAAATTTTTTTTAAAATCGTATATCAACCAAAAATAATAAATTTTTGCAATAATTCTTTCGTTCCTCTGTGCAGAATAAAGTGATTTATATTTTTGTTCAGTTCCAACATTTAATTTTTAATACTTCTTTAATAATAGCATTTTTAAAAAAATTGAAAAATTTAAGGTTACAAAATCACATTGTGAACCTTCTACTTTTGATATTTAATATTTTTAAAGGGAATAAAATTTTTACCATAATATTATATGGTTAATGAACTCAGGGAATCATCGAGTTTCACATATATTAAAACTAGATTTTTTAAAAATTTGGTCGCAACCACTATTAGACGAAAGTTAGTGGACTGACCCCCAAGCATTAAAACAAATTTTTTGGTTATAATATCGTACATTTAAATATCTTTTATCTTCCTCTGATTTGTAATGTTTTTTTATGTAATATCACAGAATACGAAACTAAAATAAACAAAATTTGAAATAAGTAATTACATATTTTCTTTTAATCATGAATACCTTATACGATATTTTCAACTCCATCAATGTTCATCTTTATGTTTTTGGGTATGTATTTTCTGCAAAAATAATTAAACTTAATCCTATGTTTATTCTTTTAAATTAATTAATTTTTACTTTTAATAAAATAATTAATTAATTTGTTTATTAAAATGTAATTGATTAATTAATTAAAAGAATTCTAATACTTTAATTTTTTTAATGGAATATAAATGGGCATATCTCTAGAACCTTTAACTTTAATGTCCCTCGCATATATTTTGGTAATTTTAATAAATTTTTCGTTGGTTTTTGTTGGAAATATTAATGCTTGATACAATCAATCATTTCCAAAAGATTCCACTTTAATTTATTAAATACATAAATAATTATTTCAATTTTAATACGCGATTTTTAACAATGTCTACTTGTCCTTAACCATACTTTCTGATGCTTTAAACGATATAGTTTTAGATTTAATAAAAATTACTAATTCTGAAATATGGTTTATCAATGTTAATTAATCGGTGAACACATTTTCGCAGGGAAATTAATATTTTATTAATTGTGAAAAAATTTATAAGCTTTTAAAAGTTGTCCCTCACTTTTAACCTTTTCGACCGTAATCATCGTATTTATGATTTTTCTTTTATAAGACAAGCGGCACGTTAAAATAACTTATGGGAAATCAAAGATCAAGTTACTATAATTATTTTGAGACATAATAAATTGATGTGCTTCATGTCTTCAAAAAACTATTATAAGTTAAATAAACGAAAACACGCGTGGACAAAATTTGAAAACAACCGTAATACGAGTGATACTTGATGAAAATCATATAAAAGTATTCGAAAAGTACTTGTATATATTTTCACATGTGCCATTTAACATCCCGTGAATGTGCTTCGAGAAAAAATACTTTATTGCAAAGATAATGTAAAAATATTCATCAATTACGGTCGACCGTAATCGACCGAAATTTTTTAGAAAGAAATTGTTATGTACGAAGTTGCCGATTATAATTTTTTTTATAGAAACTGTCATTAATTATTAAAACCTGAAGGTTAAGTTTTAACGTTTATTTCGAGACACAAAAATGGATCCAAAAAAATTCATTCTGAAAAAAGATAAGATGCGAGAGAAAAGAAAAGTAGAAAAGGAAAAAAGAGAAAAGAAATTGGAAAGTTTACGAATATTAAATTTAAACAGAAAAAAGTCTATGAAAATCGTATGGTAAATTTTAAAAATTACAATTTTACATTTTTAAAACAATTCACTATAATAAAAATCTATTTTAAAATGTAATGTAAATATTCAAATAAAAAATGTATATATCTAGTTAATTTTTGACACATGCTTTTATACCCAGTGCATTATTTCAGTATTTTATTATTCATATAAATATTGAAAATATTAAACGAATTTTATTGCTTTTTAAAATTATAACCCCTTAGAAAATTCCCTTCAACTGTTTTTTATCCTAAAAAGCAAACACCTGTTGAATATTTTTTTGTTACAGGTTAAAAATAATTCTCAATTTTAAATATTTATAACTTTTTGAAGACAACTTGTTTTATCTGTCGACTTGTATAATTGGAAAGCTTAGTTCTTGAAGTTTATGTAGACAGAGTTTCAATACTGTGCTCAAAAAAAAAAAAAAATTTTTTTTCTTATTGAAAAGTTAAAGGTTTCAAAGATATGCCCAAATACCTAAAGTTTACATTTACAGTTTTCAACATCTTTTCTGATTTATCAACATATTTATAAATTTTATTATTCCACGATTTCTTGTTGGTTAAAAATATAATTTTATTATAGTTATAGTTATTTTATTATAGTTTTAATTATTATCTTAGTGAATTAAGTATACAAACATTGTAATGCGTCGGAATATTACTTATCAAAAGTTACTGAAACATCAATCCAAAACATAGGTGTGAATGCACCCTTATATTATTCCAAGAAAGAAGGACAATACATTCACTAGTTCTCTCGCTTACACTGCATTCGAAAACTATGCTGTGAGTTTCTATATACCATCAAGTTCAGTGGTGAAAAAATACAGGTGAATACAGGTTAGAAATTATCCATAGAATTAATAATCAAGTTTTAATTTAAGAGTTTTCGCACTTTTTACATATGATGATGGAGGAAGTTGACAATATCATTATTCACTCGTTGCGTCAAATAGGCTGGTAAGTTTTTTTCTATTGTAATATTGAATAAGTAAAATGTCTTAAAATGTAAATTTGTTATGTCAGAATTTAATAAAAAGTTCCGGTTTGTGGTGTCAAAAAGTGGGTGGTTCTCTAGTCGACCTTTGAAAGTATATTTTTACTTGTTTTTTTTTTAAATGTGACATATATGTATACAAATTAAGAAATCAACCTTAATCCCTCATTCATTTAAAATTATCTTTTTTAAAACCTGTAGAATCTAATAATTATTTCAACAACATTTAAGATTATTTACAGTCTGACTAGATTCTATTGAGTTTTAAATTGTTTTTAATTTTATAATTGTGTAGTACATTTACTAATACACATTATTCTTTAGCGAGTAAAATAAAAAAAAAAGAAATATTTCAGGAAATAAATAATTATCATTGAATTCTGTTCTAAATATTTATAATTGTATTAAAGAAATAGAAACATTTTTCTTTAATCTTGGAAATTTTTAAAATAAATTTTCGCGATTTTTTACAATATAATACTTACTTAAATATTCAAAATCTATTGATTAATTTATTTTAAAAAAACAAACAATCTAATGGAACAGTATCTACATTTTTCGAATTTTAAAAGTTAAAATTATTTCTGATTGTATGAATTCTTTCTTAAATTTTTTTCAGTGATATCGAAGAAAGCATAACGAATTTAGGAAGCTTTAATACTGAATTAATTGTAGAGGCAACTGTAAGATGTTTAGATATAATAAGACCTGGTCTTGGTTTATCAGCAGTGTTGCCAATGAACATGGCAGCACGATTTCGATTAGGAGCTTCTTTGGCACAGGCTTGTTCGGTAAGTGGTCAAAAAATTTATATTTTTAGTTTTTATCAGTTTACAACTTATTACCCTAGTAGTAGTAGTAGTTATCGAATTTTACTTTTTTTAAATTTAATTTTAATAAATTAATTTCCTTTAATATTTAAAACATTTTTTTTCAAACTTCATTTTTAAGAGTAAAATAAACATTCAAAAACAAATTTTTCTGATGTTGAGAAAAAAAAATATAATTTTAGACCATTTTTTGTATTACAGTTAAATAATATTTAAATTTATGACAATTCTCATCAGGAAATTGGATACAGAGGTGACATAGGATATCAAACTTTTCTCTACAGTTCCGAAGCCGATTTACGGCGTGTATTAATGTTCCTCATTGAAAGATTGCCAAAGGAAAGCGACAATACTGTTAACGAACCAACAAGTAAAATCGCCTTATTGGAAAAGTCTCTTGCCGCGACAATATCACAAGACTTTCAATCATCATGGATCTCTGATTTATCACAAGAGCGTGAAAGATTCACTGGAAGAACGAAAGCACCTTTTAGAACTGTACCAATTGATGTAGATTCAAAAGAAAAAGGAGAAGGTTTGTTTAAATTTAATCTGAAAATTATTTTCATGTATATAAGAAAGAATCGTAAAAATTTACATTTAACAGAATTGCAGTTTTTTTTTCTTATTAATGTTTCTTGTGAAATTTCACTTAATTTCAGAATATCGAGATTATTATATTCATTATCAAAAATCAGTGCCTGAGCAAATGCCGAGTCCTTTCAGTCTCTTACCCTCTGTCTTATCGCATAATGCAAAGTCAACGAATATTTTGCCAACAAATATAATTGAAAGGCTAGATTGGCTCAATTCTCAGCAAGAAGAAAAGTCGTCAAGTTCAAATTTCGGCAGCATTCATGCCTTAAATAGATTTGCTTCCAGTGAAAAGACTGAAAGTCCTCAAATCGAAACACAACAAATAGAGGTAAAATTGTTAAACACATTTTTCAGAAAATACTATAGACCGAATTCATTTCAAATCAAACAGGCTTGACTTGGTTGGAGCTGAAAATAATTTTCACTTTCAAAATGTTGTTCTTCAATGAATACGACACGTATTTTTTTATTTTGCTGAAAAAAATTTTTTCTTTAAGTTATAAGGAGTTCAAATATATAAGTCGAGAACTTCGTTTTGTTTAAAATTAAGAGAAAAAAATCTTAAAAGTGATGTAACTTTTTAAGTAATTAAGATAATTCACTTTTTCCTTTTGTATCTGAAAGGACTTTTATTCCACTTTCGAAATCCATTGGAAAATTTAAAAAATATTTAAAAATAACAAAATGGCGGCCATTTTACTAAAAAACTTTAATTTGAAATTACTCAAAAACCCCACCTTTTTTTTGCTCAAAATTTTTTTGGGAATTGTGTTCATAGGGAGGAATATTGCCCACAAGAATTTAACTTGTGCCCGATTCCGGCACAAGAGAAAAATTTTTTTTTATATTTTTTAAAAGAAAAACATCATTTTTCTCAAAAAATACACTAGATATAAAAAAATGTCTCATATAAAAGTTGTTCCTCGTTAAAAGACCTAAAAAAATGTCTGTTGTCATTTTTGTCCATCTTGTGTTTGTTCAACAATATTTGCAAAACATGGATTAAAAGCTCACATTTATTGCTTTTTAAATATCATTTAAAATAGTGTCATAAATCTGTTTGAAATAGTTCTTTTTTGTCTTTTTCCATAGCAACAATCAAATAATAATTAATAATCTTTACTGTCACAGAGGTTAAAATTGTTCATTTTTTGTGTTCAGTAAAATAATAGCGAGTATTAATATTAAGAAATTAAAAAATCAATTATTATTTTTTAAAAAGCAAAATAAGGTATGTTTATTTAATTTTTGTATTGTAATGTCACTATTATTATTTTTAAATATGAAAAGGTCTTTTAGGTCTTTTAACGAGGAACAACTTTTATCTGAGACATTTTTTTATATCTAGTGTATTTTTTGAGAAAAATGATGTTTTTCTTTTAAAAAATATAAAAAAAAAATTTTCTCTTGTGCCAGAATCGGGCACAAGTTAAATTCTTGTGGGCAATATTCCTCCCTATGAACACAATTCCCAAAAAAATTTTGAGCAAAAAAAAGGTGGGGTTTTTGAGTAATTTCAAATGAAAGTTTTTTAGTAAAATGGCCGCCATTTTGTTATTTTTAAATATTTTCTAAATTTTCCAATGGATTTCGAAAGAAGAATAAAAGTCCTTTCAGATACAAAAGGAAAAAGTGAATTATCTTAATTACTTAAAAAGTTACATCACTTTTAAGATGTTTTCTCTTCATTTTAAACAAAACGAAGTTCTTGACTTATATATTTGAACTCCTAATAACTTAAAGAAAAAATTTTTTTCAGCAAAATAAAATAAAACGTGTCGTTTAAAATTCATTGAAGAACAACATTTTGAAGGTGAAAATTATTTTCAGCTCCGACCAAGTCAAGCCTGTCTGATTTGAAATGAATTCGGTCTATACAAATAAATTTTTATGTTCATTAATTAAATTTATCGATAATTAATATCAAAAAAAAATGTTTTAATTTTTTTTCTCAGGAACAAAAAGCTTCGAGTGTTGCAATATCGAAGAAACCTTCGATAGATAAATTAGACAATAGTGGTCAGGACACGATAAAAAGACTAACTTTAGAATGTGAAAGTTTACGAAATGAAATTGAGGATATTCAAGTGGAGAGTAAAAAGCTTAGTGGAAAATTTGCGCATGTGACAATCGTCGAGCAAAGTGAGGAGAAAGAACTCACAGCTCTTGAAAAGCAAAGAAAAATAAAAGCAAAAACATACGACTTATTAGAAAATGGAGATGAAAATATTCAAAAATTAAAGGAGGCAATTGAAGCAAATTCAAATAAACTCATTGGATTAGTTAGTCAATGGGAAAAGCATAGATTGCCCCTCATTCAAAAATATCGTGAAGAAATGGAGAAACATTCATCGAAAGCTGTACGTATTTTCAGCTATAACATATTTATTTAATATTTTTTAATATACTTTTAAGTAAAAATTGAAATTGCAAGTGGTTCTGGGATTTTATCGTAAGATTAATATTTACTTTTTTTTTAAAGAGTGCGAGTCAAAGAAAACTCGATGAATTGAAAGGTTTGAAGGAGAAAGAAAAGGAATTGACGGAGGAGAGTCGAAATAAAGATCAGCAGTATTCTCAGTTAATAGCGGACGTACAAAAACTTCCAAAAGAGGTTAATAGATCAGCTTACACTCAAAGAATTTTGGAGATAATCAATAATGTTCGCAAACAAAAAGACGAGATTGATAAAGTGCTTGCGGATACGCGAAGCATTCAGAAAGAGATTAACACATTAACGGGAAGATTGGAAAGATCTTTCACGATTGTTGACGAGTTGATATTCCGAGATGCAAGAACCAACGAGGCGTCTAGAAAAGCATACAAATTGCTCGCCACTTTACATTCAGATTGTAGTGAACTCGTTAATCTTGTCGAAGAAACCGGTGCTTCAGTTCGAGAAATTAGGGACCTTGAAGAACAGGTAGAAAAATTATGTTTACAATTTTGTATGAAAAAAATTGACTATTTTTACAAATATAAATGATGTATTTTTCTAGATTGACTCGGAATCAACGAAAAATGTTGGTGCTAATTTAGAACGAATAACAGCCGATTTAATGCAAATGAAGCAGGAGACGGCGATTTTAACGACACAACTTCAAAATAAAAATTCGTGATCGTTTCACTTTCTTTTGCTTTGTGCTTCAAAGAAAACGACCAAGCCATACCGATTGTGCCTTATTGGCACTCGGAATTTTGAGTTTTATAACTCGGAAGAGCTCAAAGAGAAACTCGATCGAGGAGCCTAATTTTTTAAAAGTGAAAAATTCTTTTATATACACAATTGAAAAAATGGATTTTTCCTCGAGTTGTCCATGACGACGAAGTTAAAACTCACAGATAAAAAAAAAAAAGCCGTTGAGTGAAAACGAGGAAATTTTTCTGTCCGACAGCGAATTTAATGTACAAAAAGTCGGGATTTTGTAACTTATCCTGTCAAGATTAAAAAAAAAAAAAAACGAGAAGACTTATTGGTTTTTGTTTTTTAAACAAACAAAAAAGTGAATTAATTTCAAAAAAAAATAATTATTAAACAAAACATGTTTGAGAAATTAAACAAGAAATTATATTTACGTTCATCTTACTACAATTGACTTTTTTCTTTTTATTAGCTTATATTATTTCTTCTTTTTAGAACGTCTGGTGGAACATATTCCTCGTCGTCTTTCAATTTTTTCTTCAACAATTTAGGTGGAATTTCCATTGCTTTTATTCTTTGTTGTATTTCTTCTATTTTCAATTCAATATTCTCCTCATTTTCAAAGAATGTCAACAGTCGTTCTTCGTCCTCTAAATCTTTCTTTATGTTTTTGGTATTATTGATTCTTTTGATCTTGTCTATTTCTGCCAAATGTTTCTCGAGGATTTTTTCCCTCATTGTTGTCCACTCGGAAAAAGACTGAAAATTACAATTTTCTTTATGAAATATATTAGAAAAAAGGTTTTTTTTTAAATGATACATACAATTTAAAGAGTTTAAATGTTAAATATTTAATTTGAAAAATAAAATTTAAAATATAATATCACAATTGATTGATAAAGATTATTTTTAAGCCTTTAACGGTATAAAAATATGACATGGTAATGTACTACATAATTATTATAAAAGTCCTTTTCAATTCTTACAATTTCGAAATTACTTTATTCACATACTTACGAAAAAAAAATTGATAATATAAACTAGTCAACAATTGAGGGGCCGGATACAATAACAACCAGTACGCTCGGCCGGTCGCTTTGAAGCCAATCAACACCTCAAAATTGAAACTCAAAATTCGGATTTTTCAGAAGCACTACTTTATAAAAGATAAAAAACATATCTTTCTTCTCTTAAAATTTTTTTTTTAAATCTAATATTTTTGATAATAAAAGCAAAAAGCCCAAAAAAATTTTTTATCAAATGTAATGAAATTTTAAAATGTTAACGATTATTTCTTTCACAAATAGTAATAAATTTGTTTACAACTTGGTATACATACTAAATTAGGTCTAATAAAGCCATTAAAACATTAGAAAAGGGAAAAAAAATTATTGTTTTATTATTTTTACTTAAAAATTCACATTCTCTAACTTTTGACGATAAAATGTCTGCAGGGAATTTCAAAACTGTAAGAACTTCTCTTATAACATTTATTCACTACTATTTCAGGAAGTTTTCTGCAAAATTCCAAATCAATTCCTGTTATAGTTTTTAAAAAAATTAATTTTCAAGAAAAAGCGGATAGCCCATCGCGTTCACTGAACCCGCTGGAGACTCTTTCTTGAAGTATGTGAAATTATTTCGGCTCGAATAAGAAATTAGTGAAATAAGAAGAAAGTTATATTTATTTTTTCTGATTAGTATCTTATATGTATGTACATTAGTATTAGAATTGTTAACAATATTAATATTAGTAACATTTATAATTCATACTTGATATTTTGTAAATATTTAAAATCCGCGTTTTATTGAAAATTAATTCTTCTTAAAACCATAGCAGGAATTGATTTGGAATTTTGCAGAAAACTTCCTGGAATAGTAGTGAATAAATATTATAAGAGAAGTTCTTACAGTTTTGAAATTCCCTGTAGACATTTTATCGACAAAAGTTAAAGAATGTGAATATTGACTTCTTTCAATTTTTAATTAAAAATAATAATAATAATTTTTTTTCCCTTTTCTAATGTTTTAATGACTTTATTAGACCTAATTTAGTATGTATACCAAGTTGTAAACAAATTTATTACTATTTGTCAAAGAAATGATCGTTTATATTTCAAAATTTAATTAAATTTGAGAAAATTTTTTTTTGGGTTTTTTGCTTTTAATATCAAAAATATTGGATTTAGAAAAAAATTTCTGAGAGAAAAAAGATGCATTTTTTTATCTTCTATAAAGTGAAGCTTTTGAAGAATCCGAATTTTGAGTTTCAATTTTGAGGTGTTGATTGGCTTCAAAGCGACCGGCCGAGCGTACTGGTTGTTATTGTATCCGGCCCCTCAATTATTATTGAAAACTACTACGGTTCTTAATGTATTTAATGTTTATAAAAAAAAAGTTTAAAAATTGACCAAAAAATAAAGAACAAAAAATACTTGATAAGAAATTAATTAAGAATTTAACTATTACCATTACTTTTAAAATACATGTTGATATTTATAATAATAGAAACGTAAAAAAAAAAATTTATTTTTGAACAAACCTTCAACTGTTCGGAAATATCACTTTCCTCTCTTTCCTGCACTGCCTTCTTCACATCATTTTCCATTTCTTCTAGAATACTTCCACTTTTCAAGTCCATTTTTTCAAGCTCTTCTAATTTATTTTTCAATGTTACCATTTCCTCACTCAATTCTCCATCAAATAATGTTGGCGAATCTTTTTTTATCAATTCAAAAACTTGTTGATACACAATTTCCTTCTCGTCTTTCCACTGATCAATTAATTTAATAACCTTAGAATATTTTTTAAACAAAATGAATCCTCGTAATTGACATGTTCTGCCAAGAGTGCCACCTCGATGCTTTCCAAAAAATGCCAGAGTTTTTCCCATCAAATCAGTTGGTTCAATCAAATCGAAATGATCATCAAAATATGGATTACGAAGATATTTCACTCGTACCTTGACCTCTTCTTTAGATTCGTCAATTGTTTGTTCTGGAACGATCCAATTTTGAGGATTCTCAAGATACTTGTGACATGAATAAAGAGCTAATGCATTTGCTATTGGATGCTGAAAATCTTCCTGAAGCATCAAGAGTGATGCAATTTTTGCAGCAGCTGTAAAATCTTCTTTCTTTATGTACGTGTCCATTAGAAGATTGAAAGTATAATGATCTGGAAATATTCCATAATTGAGTCTGTCATTGAGTACTTCGAAAATTTGATCAGCATTATCATTGTCGAAGAGGTAACGAATCACTGCATAATGTGTCGACGGTAATGTGAAAGATGACTCGGGACTCAATCGTAATTTGTTTATCATATCTAAAAGATCTTCTTTGTGTCCAGGTTCTTTGAGGGAATTCACGTAAATATCAATGTCCACTGCTGCAACTTTTCCCAATGTATTGTGTTGATTCTCCAATTGCAAATAGAAATCGTAAGATTTCACCTTGAAAAAAAATTTGAAAGTAGAGAATTTATTAAAATCTTGACAAAAATAATTAAACACAAATTTAGATTTTCATTACTTTTTTTCTCATATTTTTACATTTTTTTAAAAAAGATTTTTACAAAATACATAATTATATAAGTTTTTTTTGGAAATTTTTGTCAATTTTCAAAAAAACAAGTAAATATAATAATAATAATTTACATTTTTGATCAAGGAAGTTTCTAGCCTTTTATTCCATTCATCTTCACATCGATAACTTTCTGAAAGAAAAGTTCTCTTACACATATACTTTTTGCTCAAAAAATATTTTTCGTTCAATCGCAAAATTTTCCACATTCTCGTTGAACTATGCATTTTGTATACATATATATGTATAAATGAAAGTAAATTAGAAAAATTTATAGGTTATATAAAATATGATTCCGAACGATTGTTCGGATTTTTCTTCCTGGTACATTAAAAACTTGTGAATATTATAAAAACACAGATTATAGTAATCTATATTTCTTAGAAAAAACAAGCTAAACACTTTATTAATTCATTGTTAACTTATATTATTTGTCACATGTTACAAATGTTGTTTTTTGGAGTTTTCCGGTTGTTAAATACTGCGCATGAGCGAAAGAAAATTTATAGGTTATGTTTATGGCTCACGATCGAGAAAGCAACAAAAATATTGTTTTTTTTTAAATTACTTATAATACATTTTCATGAGTCTATAATTAATTATATTTATAAAAAAAACTCGATCACGAGTTTGAAAATACAAAACGATATTTATCAAAATAAACTGTAAAAAGGTAGGTTCTCCAATTTTTATTCTTGGCAATTCTCACTTGTATGTTTTTTTTTCTAAAAGGAAATATTTTAATTATTATGTAATGAATTAATTGTTATACCAGATAACGCTTATATCATTTTAAATTTATACTTTAATTCTTATTATGTAAATATTTTTTGTTGACAAGTTATAATATGAGAAAATTTATCTTTCAGAAATTAAAATGCAGAGCTTAACAAATTGCATGCAGCGGTTGTTGGGAAAACAATTGCTCCAGCCAAATTTAGTTGCTTTGACACAAACTGCAAATTTTGAAAAACATTCATCCTTTGAGGATTATAATAATAAATTTTATCCAATTCAAGCTCACGATGAAGAACGAAGACCCGCAGTAAGGATACAAATTTTTAATTATTATAATTCATTTATACAAGTAATATAATATATTTTATATTACTGGCCTGTTAATCGATTAACAGGCCTCGGATTATACGACTTTTTCGACTTTTTTCGACTTATTTTAATAAAATGCGACTTTTTCGACTTTTTTTTACATTTTAAAAAATTTTTTTAAAATAAAATACGTTTTTTTTAGTATAAAATGCAGATCTTCTTTATTTCAATTAATTAACAAATTTTTAACTAAAATTCTTCACTAAATTAATTATTTTTAATAATTTTAATGAAATTCGTCACAAATTCAATTATTTCAAATTATTTTTCAATTAAAAACTTTTATGAAATTTAAAATTGTTTAAAATTAAAAATTAAAATCAAATAAAATTACCAAAAATTTTTAATTAAAAATCACAAATCAATCAATCAAAATCAAATAAAATTTAATTATTTTCAAAATTTTCAATTCAAAATCAACTAAATTTCAATTATTTTCAAAAATTTCAATTCAAAATTAACTAAAATTCAATTATTTTCAAAATCAAAGAAAATTCGGTTATTTTCAAAATTTTCAATTCAAAATCTTTTAAAATTCAATTATTTTCCAAATTTCCAATTTAAAATCAATTAAAATTCAATTATTCTCAAAAATTTCAATTTAAAATTAATTATTATTAAAATTTTCAATCAAAAATCAACTAAAATTCAATTATTATCCAAAATTTCAATTGAAATTTAATTATTTCTAAAATTTTCCATCAACAATTTTTTAAAATTTAATAATTTCAATTATAACTCTTCCGAAATTCAATTATTTTTTAAAACTATTTTTATAATATTCTACGAAAATTCAACTATTTTAAACCATTTTTCAATTAAAAATGGTTTTCAAATTATTGTATTTTTGTCCGTAATTTCTAATCAATTTTTGTTGTGAAATTATCAAAAAAAAATTTAATTAAAAATCACTTGAAGTTCAATTAATTTCAAGAATCTCAATTGTAAATCTTTGAAAATTCAATTACTTTTAAAAAATGTTATCTAAAATTATTTAATAAATTATTTTTAGTTCTGTAAAATTTAATTATTGTCTGAAAATTAACTTTTGAAATTCAGTTATTTGTTAAAATTTCAACTTTAACCCTTTTCAAAATTATTATTATTTAAAAATCTAAAAATTTTTTGTTAAAATAAAAAAAATCGACTTTTTTTGGAATATAAATCGACTAAAACGACTTTTTTTTGTGCCTTTAAGTCGAACCGAGGCCTGGATTAAGAGTAACAATAATTTATTCTTCAAAGGAACAGCACAAAAAATTAAATTAAAACTTAATTATTTACAGTTTGTTTGTCACGTGGAGAAAAACGTGAAATACAGTCCTAAGAATATGTGGTATGTAGCAAATTTAATTCGAGGAATGACAATTGATGATGCAATCGATCAAATCAGTTTTGTATTAAAAAAAGGTGGTGCAATTGTAAAAGAAGCTCTGCTGGCAGCTCAAAAAAAGGCCGTTGAAGAACATAATGTTGAGTTTAAGAGTAACTTGTGGGTTTGTAAGTGACAAAAAAAAATGACTATTAAATTAAAATGCATTACTTAATTTTATAAATTAAATTTAGCTAAATATGAAATTTTTAAACAGTTGGTTTTTTAATTTTCAGCGTACAGAATTTTTCTTAAAAAGTTTTTTTTTTTTTTTGTAAAATAATTGTAATAACAATAAGATGTAATTAAAGTTTAAACTTTCCGTATGTTTAAAAATATTAATTGTTAAATAATTTTTTTTAGCGGAATCATTTTGTAACAAAGGAATAGTTATAAAAGGAATAAGAAAACATGCAAAACAACGAGTAGGAGAAGTTAGATATACTTATTGTCATTATTACCTCACTCTTGAGGAAGGGAAACCACCAAAACACTATTATCATTATAAATCACCAAAATCCAAAGAAGAATTACTGCAAAATTATAAAGAAAAACTACGAATGCGTAGAGTCATTAACAGTTTGTAATTGGAGAAATATAAAGGTTTTTTTTTTAATTTTTAGTTGCATAGATATTTGAATTGCAATTTTATTTTACCCAGTTATTATTTTAAGACATAATTTTTTTTACATAAAGTAGTAAAATAAACATGAGAAAATAATTTCTATTTAAAAGAGGTCTTCGTTTTTTAGTAAAATAAGTGGTACATAAATGAATTAAAATTAAAAACGTAAAAATTTAAGAATATTCGAGGTTAAAAGAATTAAAAATTAAATGGAATCTGTAAATTTATTAAACACATCTAAAATTTCTTTTAATTTTATAATAAATGATAATTTGTTTGTAAATAGAATCTGAAATATCTAAATTTTAAAATTAGAATAAGTATGGTAAATAATGAAAAAAATGCAAAATAATTAATATAAAGAAAATTCTTTTATTAGCCCATTAATGACACTTGGTAAATTAAAGTTGTTTACAACTTCAACTTGGTACGTCTCCAGTGACGCCTCTTTGCATTGTATCTGAAAAAAATAGAAAATATAAAAATTTTAATTATAAATTTAAAATATTTATTATTAAACAAATAATTTTTTAAAACAAAGCGAAATTTATTTTGAAATTTGTGTTGAAAGAAAATTTGGAAAATTTTAAATAGGTATTCCTGATACATATATTGTAAAGCTAATACCCTGCATTTTACAAATTTTAATTTTAAAATTAATATCGGACAATAAAAGAAAAATAATAGGTCATTACATTTTGAAGTTTAAAACAAAAAAAATGTAGAATTAAATTTAAAATATTCCATAAATTGTAAACAATCAGATAAATTAGAATGTTGATAATTTTATTAAATTTGAAAAATATACCAAAGAATTTATAAAATATTGCTTATTATTCCAGATAACTAATAAAATTTAATTGTTTTTATATAGATAAAAACGTTCTAGCTTTATCAAGAAAAACAAAATAATACCCATATAATGAGTTGACCATAAACATAACCTTAAATGTCAAACTTAAAAAAATATTCAAAGATATGCAAAGTAAAGAATAAATGTAAAAAAAAAACTATTGCAAATTTTAAATCAATTTTAAGAATTAAATTTGTCTTTAATATTAAAAATAATGATATAATTATATGAATCATACCTGATTGTGTTTCCAGTTCTCATTCTAACCCACTGTGGAATGGGTCTATTTTGTTTTAATTTTTTGGCAAGTTTGCGCTTAATTATAAATGTCTTATGGGCCGCCTGTAACAAAAAGATATCAGATTTTAAAAATATTATTAATTTTCATTCATGTTGATCAGGATTAAAAAGATTAATATGGATTTTTAATGAGAGATAAAATTTTTCATACCATTTTGTATTCGTAGTTTTACGAAGAAGACCCAAGGGAAGAGAAATAGGAAAGAATTGCCACTTGAAGTTGAACTCAGGTATGTAGTAAAAGCGACATCTTTCAGGTTTCATAAAAACTAATGTAATGCGTCATGCTGTAGTAGAACCCCTGTTGTGTCAACATTTTTAAAATTGAGTAATAGTAAATTATATATAAAGTTTTTACATTAGTGAATAATAAATTATATCTCTCTCTCTTGCTCTCATGGTTTTCTTGAACATTTGCATTTACTTTTTTGCATCTATTGGAAAACCTTTAAAATGTGTTAAGGTGCTTATATACCTCAAATTTCGATCAGATGAACATTATTTCTGGACCGTGAAAATGCGTGAAAAGTCATTTTCATGGCGGGTATTTTTGAATTGTTTTATACAAAAAATGTTTTTTTAAGAAATATAATATTAAATAATTGTTTTAATATGTAAGAACACTTTAAAATAGTGATAGAGAGATGATTTGATTAAAAAATTTAGCAAATTTTGCTTTAAAACGTTTTCTGCTACAAGAAAGTGTAAAATGACGATGTTTGTGAAATGGTTTGTACAGTGCTTCTTCCTTGTTAGTGTCTCTCAGAGTTTTGTTTATGTTATGTCGGTTCTTTTTAACTTGTAATAAATAATGAGTGCTGAAAATAAATCGGTAAGTTGAAATGTTTATCAAATAAATTTAAATTCAACTAATTGTTTCGAATAACTGAAAGAAACATGTACACATGTACACTGTACAAACCATTTCACAAACATCGTCATTTTACACTTTCTTGTAGCAGAAACGTTTTAAAGCAAAATTTGCTAAATTTTTCAATCAAATCATCTTTTTATCACTATTTTAAAGTGTTCTTACATATTAAAACAATTATTTAATATTATATTTCTTAAAAAAAACATTCTTTGTTTAAAACAATTCAAAAATACCCGCCGTGAAAATGACTTTTCACGCATTTTCACGGTCCAGAAATAATGTTCATCTGATCGAAATTTGAGGTATATAAGCACCTTTACTTTTTTGCACCTATTGGAAAACCTTTAAAATGTGTTACATTTCGAAAGTTCCTTAATAGAACATCCGAAATATTTTTCCTCTTCATATCCTTTGAAAAGGCACCTTTAGACATCTGGGGACTTTAAACCTATATTGATCGCTTTCGTCATCGGATCTTGGCAAGACTTATTTTACCAATATCTCCTAACCAACTCTGATGAATCAGCCGATGAATCAATCACAGCAAATCATTGTGATCATACGCACAATTAGAGTTATCTTAAAGTTATTCTTTTTAGATTTTATTCAATTTTAAGTAGGATTTTAAAATATCGTATATTGTTTATGTAAACAAAAAACAATAGTGATTTGTTATAAAAAAATTTCTGAAAAAGTACATTTATTTCACATATATGAGACGCTAATCAGGTTTGTATTAGAGGAATCCATTTTAAATGTTTCTATAAAGTTTAGTTATACATTTTTTTTTTATAATTCATGTTTTAAATGAAACATTTTTAAACAAAATATATTAGTCTAATTTTATTTAATTTAATAAATGTTATTAAAATAAAATTTCAATCATTTTTATTTAATTCAGAAATTCTTTCATGGAATGTGCATCAGCGAAATAAACATCAAAGGTTTACAACACGATTAGAAAGGTATCAACAAGGTGCATATTAAAAAAATGAATTATGTAAAATTATGTAGTAAATTTGAAATTTTTTACAGAAATGATAACAAATATTGTAAAATGATATAAAAATTTTATTTTATTTGTGAATTTATGTAATTTCAAACAATATTTCGAATTTTAAATTGACAATTGTTAATTTTTTTTCTAAATAGTACAAGAAATTTTTTTGGGTTACAAAAACAATAATAATTAATAATAATTAATATCCGAACGCTAATTATTTCAGCTTAATTAAAATTTTTAAAAATAAGTTCGATATGAGAAATTTTACCTCAGATCCTCTTCAAGAGATTCTAAGTATTATCCCATTTTTCGTTTGTTAATTAACAACAGCATAAACAAAGATAACGAGTATTGCAAAAAAGATTGAAAATCAAAGTTGACACTCTTTCAGTATTTTGTCTCGTATTTGAAGAAAAAGAAGCTAAAAATTCATTTTATTATTTATAATTGTTTGTTATGAATACTAGAACAGAAACAATTTTTCATTTTTGCCTTCTGTAAAATTTTATTAATAATATCAGACCGTTCGTATTTACCCAGGAAAATTGGAAAACCGGGGTAAATCCGAACGGTATTTTCAATCATTTTTTTTTTACATCAGAGCCACACAAAATTGTTTTTATTTCATTACACTATTATTTTAACATTATAAAAGTACATAGAAAAAAGTTTTTCTTTCTATACGTATCCTCGTTAGTAATTAATAAGCAGAAACTTAATCTCTGTTCTCTCGAAGGAGTGTTTCAATTTTTTTGCCAAATGGTTTGTTGAAAACAGTTTTTCAGGATCTTAATAAAATTTGGTATTCTACAGTTTTTGGGGTCGCTAATTACCAATTTGAAGTCAGTTTTTCAAAATTCAAAATGGCGGACGAGAATTAAAAAATTCATTGGATTCGCTCGAAAATTGTTACTCGGGGGGTTTCAGGGTTAGCAAATTTGATCATTTTTAAAAATAAGTTTTAGGAAAGTCCGCCATTTTGAATTTAAAAAATTTGACTTTTATTTTTGTATTTACATTCAATCACTCCAAAATACTTTCTGTAGCAAGTTTTGCAAAAATCCGTTATGATTTGATAAAGTTATTGAAGGTTTTAATTGTGTAATGCATTTTAATTTTTAACCTGTTTGATTTTTGTATTTATATATGATGCATTATTACATAATAGGTTTATTATCGTATTTTTTTTAATTTTTATATAAGTTTAACAATTGCAATACTTTAAATTTATTTTCCCTAAGATTTTTCTGAAATACAGTGGCGTTCGTATTTACCCCGGTATTTTAGGAAAGTTGCAAAGTATCGAGGTAAATACGAACGCTAAGTTTCCTGCGATTGTAATTTATCAAAAATTTTTGCTACCCCATAAAATTGTTCTATGGAAGTAAAGTAACAACTTCATGCACCAGAATACCGGAAGTATTTTTTTTTTTAAAGAAAAAACTTATGTTATTGTTGAAACTTACTAAAAGCGTTCGGATTTACCCCGGTTGACCCTAATACAAAATTTTCTTTTTTTAATTACAGAAATCAATATGTGAAATCTCCGTTTTTCCGTCAAATCTTCAATGACCAACTTGATGATAATTTTTATATGATATTTTATTTCGTTATTCAATATGTATCGTCATAAAAATATTCGCGGAAGACCAAACGCTTTTCCAGGATATGGACATTATGCGCGGTCAATATTTCCAACTAATGCATTAAATTATCCTGCAACGCATCGTGACATTGATTATAACGACTCCTCAGGTTATAATGCAATTTTTTCTGCTGTTCACGAGGGAAAATTAATTTATGCACATAAGTTACTTAAGGAGGATTTAGTAGAAAAAGAGTTTCAGGGCAGAACATTAATGCACGTCGCCGCAGCCAAAGGTCATGAGCAAATTGTATGTTTACTTTGTCAACGTAATGCTAGAATCGACAGAGGAGATCGAGACGGTAACTCACCACTGCATCTTGCAATAAAAGGAAATCATACTGATCTCATTCATTTATTTGTGAAAGAAAGTACCGTAAATTTGACAAATTCTATTAAGGAAGCGCCACTTCACATTGCCACGGCAAATAATCAAATTCAGATTGTACAATTATTACTTGATAATGGTGCCAATTCGAATGAACAGGACGCAAATGGAAGTACACCACTTCATATAGCTGTTAAAATGAAGAGACCAAATTTAAAAATCATAACGCTTCTTGTGGAACATGAGGCAAATGGAAATCTACTTTCCGATGAATTATTCACACCTCTCTATCATGCAGTTTCTTCAGGAAATATTGAAATAGTTCAAATTCTTGTTAAGTACGGGGCTCATATTGATAAAATTAATAAAGACAATAAAACGCCTCTTATTTTGGCTGTTGAGAAAAATAATGCAGAAATGATACGACAACTTTTACACAGCAAATATAGAGATTCAATAGCGACTAATACAATGACACCACTTCATTATGCTGCAAAAAATGGTAAATTGGAAATTGTCAAATTATTAATAGCAAACGAATGTAATACAGTGAATATTAAAAATAATGATTCGCAAACGCCCCTGTATTTTGCGACATTCAATGGTCATTTGGAAATAGTAAAGTATCTGATAGAAAACGGTGGTAAAATTGAATCAGCATCACCTGACAATGAATCGCTTCTTCATGTTTGTGCCACAAATGGTCGAATAGAAATATTCAAGTTTTTCCTTGATTGTGGTGCAATAATTGACGTAAAAACAAATCGACTTGAAACTCCACTTCATTTTGCCATTTCAAAGGGAAATTTAAATATTGTTAAATGCTTATTGGAATCAGGCGCAAATATTAATGCACGAACACAAGATAACGAAACTCCTCTTCATTTGGCTGTAAAAACAGGACACGATAAAATTGTTGAAGAAATTTTAAATCATGGTGCGAATATTAATTCAGTGGCTAGTGGAAAATTTTCAGCTCTTACATTTGCTGTGAAATCAAGGAAAAAGAATATTGTACAATTATTCATTGACAAGGGCTGTAAAGATTTTCAAACGGATACTGAGAATGATGAGCGAGCTCTTCATGTTGCAGCTAAAAATGGAGATGAAATAATTTTTAAAATACTATTAAATGCCGGATGTTCATTGAATATTAATTGTAAAGGAAAAAAACCCATTCATGTTGCTGCCATTTTTGGCCATGTAAAAATAATAGAATTACTTGTAAAAAATGGTGCCGATATTAATTCGAAAAAAAGATTTGATGAAACGCCATTACATCTTGCAGCAGCGTCAGGTCGAGTAGCGGCGGTGAAATTTCTTTTGAATGCTGGTGCAAAGCATGATTTATTGACCAATCGTCATTTAATACCATTGGAATATGTCTTGGACCGTGAAAGGCACACAGCAATTATGATAAAACGTTCTGTTGATGTACTCTCAGGAAGAAGAGCAGCTTTATTTAATGTTGAAAATTCGAATGCAATTTGGTCCGTTAATTCATTAATGTTTGAAAAATATCTCGATATCGTTGAGTTACTTTTGATTAAAACTACTGCTGATAATTTTGACAATTTATCTAAAATCAATTGCTTTACTCTTGCCTGTCAGATCAATGTCATTAAGGAAATTCCAATGAATTCAGTAAATGCATGCAAATCAATAACAGAAAACAATAAAAATGTGGAATTTCAGCCTGATATCGTTCAATGTATTTTTAATTATCAAAGGGGGCATATATCTAATGATTTGTTTAAAACTGTTATAAGTACAGCAATTAAACAAAATTCTCCCGAAGTATTAAAATGTCTTTTAGAATACAATGTTTGTGATACGTTTAATAATATTGTAATAGATTGTTCACAATGTAACATTAAAACTCTTACAATCATAATTGATCACATTGAGAATAGTAACATCATTTGTAAGTTATTATATAATTCCAAGGTGCGGCAAGATGTTCAAAATTTTCGAGAGACCAGTCTTGTTACCACTCGGGCAGAGGAAAGTGTAGGAATTCGACCCCTACAAGCAGCTATTTTAAGATTAGAACTTTTTAGATTTGATCATCTAACTGAAAATCTTATTCTAAACAAAAACACATATATTGATACTTTAAAATTATTAATTGCCCGTTTAGTTCAATTAAGATCCATCTCTGGTGATGAAAATCTTCTCGAGTTAAAAGAAACAAAAGCACTTGCCGATTATGGTCTCAGTGAATTTTACACGGATTGTGAAATTCAAATAATCAACGCAAGAGAGACAAAAATTCATCTTGACTTTGATGTAAGTTACTATGATATTTTATCACAGCCTGTTGATAAAATTGCAAACTTTGTTAGACAAAAGGAATTAATGAAAGTATTGGAATTATCATTTATGAAATTTCCAGCATATGGTGAATTTTTGAAAAGAAGTATCGAAAAAGGTAGCGACAGAAAAGAATTAATTGACATGAGTGCCAATTGCTTATTAAATGTTATATACAAGAATTATAAAATTCAATTGCCAAGTCTCGTTATTGATAAAATTTTCAAAAATTTGTCTGTTATTGATTTAAGAAGACTTCAACAAGCTGGAAGATTTCTTGATAAAAAACCATTGTACACGCGTACTCAATTTGGTGGTAGAAGAAGAAAAATAAACTGAAAAATTCTGAAATGTGTCTGATTATGCTATACTTATAACATAAAAAATATGTTCGATTTATTTATGTGCTGTTTAAAAATATTTCTATTTTTTTATTTACTTATAGATTAAATTTAAGAATAAATTGTAAGTTTTTACTTTTGCATGTTTAAAAAACTTAAAATTTAAGTCAATAATGTCAAAATAAAATACTTTAATTTATAGCATTCAATAAACATTCAAATTAAATTAAATTTTCATAATTTTTCCACACAATTTAAAAATAAATGTTAATTAAAAAACCATTTAAAAACTGACAGTTTGAATTTACAATATAAATTGTACATGATTCGAGTGACTCATGTTTATTGTATTGAAAATTTTATATATTAGGTATTTCACTTTCAAATATGGCTGCCCGATCAGCTGGAAGTCTGGAGGGACAACAAATAATTTTACTATAGTCCATCTACAGTTGGTAACGTTGAAAACTTCAAAAACTTAACCTCAAAATTACTTGTTTGACAGTTCTTTATTGTTTTTTTCGTTTGTTGTCCACTGTAAAAAAAAAAAATTTGTCTTATTTTACGGATTGAACTTGTAATTTTACCAAAATTTGTAACTGAACTTATTTCAAAGCAGTAAATATACAATAACTGATTTAAACTTTATACTTTTAAAGTAGTACATTCGTAATTTTCTGTAAATTTACTACTTTCAGAGTAGTACCAAATATTACCTACTTTCAATGTGACATAATTACTACCGTATTTGTAATTTTACATTTTTTTGTAAAAATGCGAACATAACCTAGTCAATTTGCCTTAAGTAAAATCACTGCTTTAAAAGAAGGTAATATTAGTTACTACTCTGAAAGTAGTAAATTTACAGGAAATTTTTTTTAGTGTCCCTCCAGGCTACGTCATCAGCCTCTGACGTCACAAGGTAGAATGCCTAATTTGTCTTTTTACGTATATTACGTAGAAAACTCTCAAGATACGCGTATAACTACGTAGTGTTCTTAAATTCTCGAGAATTTAAACTGGGGTTATATTACCAGGAAAATTACGGTAATTTAAATTTTTTAACAGAATTCAAGAGAATTTAAGAGAATATTGAGAATTTAAGTTTATTTACGTAAATAATGTATATTTATTGTTTTTATTAATATAAGACATGTATTTTAGGATAATTAAGATAATTGCTTTTATCTAAAAACATTTTTTTATTCTATGAATAAAAAAATCTTTAAAATCATATTTTTTAATATTTTTTAATAATCAAAAAGATGATATCGATTACTTTGAGTCAAGTGATCAATATTATATCTTTTTGATTATTAAATTTACCGAGTAATAGAATCAAAATAATATCATATATTTTTTAAATTAAAAACTTATGTTTATGAACATTGATTAAATTGCCCTCATTTAGTATGAATAAAAATTTAGTATGCGAATAAATTTAATTAAATTTGGAATAAAGATAAGTCTTATATACACAAAAACTTAATTGTTTTCGTGTTTTTATCCTCAATACTTTTAAAGTATTTCCAAACTGCACTTTTAGGTTTTGTCATTTTTGAAAAATAAATAAATATATAGTCATTAATCAATAAAAATAATTGTGAAAGTATAATATGGATAATGCTAAACAGAACCGATTAACGCACGTGCCAAAGCCTAAAGGAAAGTGAGGTTATGTTGTGTTTTTATTTATTTCTATTTTGCCTCCATTCTAATTATATGTATGAATGGATGCTCTGAATTTAGTAAATTAGAAAATTTGAATTAGTTAAGCAATATATGAAAAAATTTAAAAATTATTATATATTATCTGCATTTTAATTTGTCTTATTTAAAATAGGAAAATTCTCATAAATTCTCAGAGAATTTAAACGTTGGTTATATTCTTGGTAATATTCTCGTTTTCGGTAATATTCTCTCGGTAATATAACCGACTTAAAACACTATAACTACGCATCCCTGATAGTGAGAGAGGGGAAAAGTGGTTGGCAACACTGTAACTCAATTGAACCGAAGTAAACTTCAGTCAGTAGAGTAAAGATCAATTGTTGTTTTCCTTCAGATTGAGAATGACCCTGTGACAGTCGACAGAGCGAGGTTTCTTCGCTTTGTGTCAACATCAGCTGTTTTGTTTAGCTCGCGCGTGAAATGACAGTTGTGAAGTTGTGTGTGTATGTTTCACAAATCGTCAGTGACGTGAGTGAAAATGCAAGTCCTTGACAAGTTAAATGACATGTGCTCCTGAAGTGAAAGATGAACGGGAGTTTAGCAATATTACGTGGCCCTGAGCAACATCCATCTAGGTTCGCGGATTACTTTGTCATCTGTGGCCTGGACAAGGACTCGGGCCTCGAACCCGATAAATATTTTGGTAAGTTTGTATCATAAGTTAATTTTAAATAACTTCCCTCTCTTTTTTCTCTCTTCATTAAAAAAACAAACAAAACAATAATCGTCAAAAAACACGTGATTACAATATCAAAATTAAACTTTTTTAATTCTTAACTGTGTTTTATTGACATTGTTAAATCGTTGATAATTATTTAGTTTTTCTTTTTTTTTTTGCTTTCCATGATGTTTAGATAACAATACTTTGTTAACGAATTTTTCAATCCTATATTTAAAATTATTTATTTGATTTTCTAATGTGTTTTGTGTATTTGTTATTAAAAATATTGCAGTACATTATACAATGAAATGGGAATTTACAAAATTACGTCAAAGAAAGTAAACAATATTATACAAAAGAAGAAAATATTTTTTTCTAGATAAATAAAGCAGTTAAAGTTTTAGATAAAATAAACGATGACATTTAATAATGAAATAACATGAAATATAAGGAAGAGTGATAAGTTTTAGAGTCTCATAAAGTACGTTTGTTTTGTATGTGATTGCCCTACATTTTCCTATTTAATAGGATTTATTTTCGAAAACAAAACAATCCTCCATATTGTTAATATATACATATATCTCAATAATTTATTATGCATTCATTCTTTCATGAAAAGGCTATTAATTGAAATCATTCTAATTATTAATATCCATATGATAAAGCAATTTATTATTTTCCAAGTAATGATTCTTATTAATTAATAATCATTATAATTAAATATTGTTTATTATTCCCCTTTAGTAGCCGCCTTTGTTTTAAATAAGTTACAAAAATAATTATAAAATTTATTTTTCATTGCATTTTCGAATCTCTACTATTTTAGTTTATTATTAGAATTAGAATTATTTAATAAAATTTAATATTTTTCAATATGAAAGTATATAATTAAAGAATTATTCAAACTTTTCTTACTATTAAAGTTACAATTTTTGATAAATATAAATATTTCATTTGCTATTATTTTTAACGTTATTAATAATTTTATTATTACTTTATTAATTAATTTTTTTTTTATAATTTTTACTTTGATTTACAGTTATTCTGATTTTGTGAAAGTTGATTATTTGTTGTTTGTTAGGTGTAAAAAGTGAAAAGGATTTTCCTTGTCCCATTTTCTATAAACAAGACGCTCTGATTTCAACTCATTGTCCTCTTGAACTCAAACTGCGCACGCAAACAATAATGCCCGCAGGAAGTGGCAAGGATCTTCCTGAGAAACTGCGCTGTCCTTTTTATAAAAAAAAAGGGCAGGAAAAGAGAAGGTTAAATTTTCTGAGAAGTTAGTGTATTCCTTTACATAGGGGCTTTTTTAAAAAAAAAAAGAATTTCAAAAATCTCATTGTCCAAGTATATTTCATCACACGTGCGTCCGATTTCTCAAGTATATAAGTGTTGAATGTTTATATTAAAAAAAATTCAATTTTATTTTTATTATTTTGTAAAATTTATAATAAAATATTACTATTATTGCGCGTAAAATTAATTTACTATTAAAAATAAATAAGTAGGTATAAAAAAAAATTTTATTTTAATTTATTTAATTAAATTAAAAAATTTGTAAAATAAATAATATTGTTGAAAAAAAGGGAGAAAATGAAAAATAGAAGTAAAATTTAAATGTAATTTATATCGTTTTCATTATAAAATTTAAATCTTTTCTCGTTTGATGAATTGTTATCTTTATATATGAAATTGAAATGAATTTAAATTAAATTTTAATTTTATTTAAAATGAAATATAATAAAATGTATATATATATATTATTCCTTACATTTTACGAATATACAGTACGAAGAAAATTTGTTCGCTAAAAAGCAGGAAGTTGATTCATGGTTAGTGCCACAGTCGTTTCTTAAGTTGTAATAAGTATGAAAGGGAGGTTTTTGAAAAGATGCTAGTGAACTACAGCAGCTGCTGCTCTACCTTGGATGTAGTAGACCTCACAGCATGTCATTTTCAAACGTTTAAAATTGTCCCATTTCTTGAACAAACAGTCAGACTCCTGCGGAATATTGCAACGTGTTTCAGACTGAGGCCATTGGTCGCGCGCAAAGAGTTATAAATAATCTCTACAGTCTAAATACGAAAATCTGCCCCTAAAGGCATTTGGAGTGAAACAATATTTTTTTTTTTGCGTTTGTAAAAAAGTCAATTAACTTTATACATTTATTAGACAATAAACAATGGGATTTTAGTTATATTTTAAATTGGAGGATAATATATTGTTAATTGTATTATACTAATAATATATTACAAAATTTCTTATTTTTAGAAAAACTAAACTTCAAAATTTATTTGACAGTAATAAAATTTAATTAAAAATTTTTTATTTTGTAAAAGTGACTTTCATATGTCATTTTTTTATTTTAAATAAATTAATTATTCAATTCTGAAATGTGGTTTTATGTTTAAAAAAAAATATATTAATTATTTTTCCTAAAAAAAAATGCAGTATAAAATATTTGGGATGCAGATAAGAGTCATAAGAATTGATAAAATGTGAAGGTGAAATGTTAGAGAATTAAGTGATCATCTGACAATTTAAAGTCATTAAAGGCGGTGACAGGATGGGTTGGTCTTTGTAAATTGTAAGAAGTACTTGAAACGATAAAGTCACACACGATTTAATGATCCATTATATGTCGCTATTATGGTCAAACGATAAATTATAGCAATAAAGTTAATAATAGAAATAATAATAAAATTGAATAATATAATAATAATAATTATTATTATATGAACGAAAAATATTATAGTATACAAACTTTTAATTTATAATTAAATATTAAAATAATTGATAATTAATTATTTGTTCTTTAATTTGCGAAATATATTTTTTAAATTAAGGAATTTGAATTAATAAATGATTTATATATTTTCATTAACATGAAATATCACGCCTAAAAAGTTTTCATCGAATAAAAATAGTTTTCATATAAAAGAGATTGTGCAAAGTTAAGGTCAAAGTTTATGAGTATACGGCCGTCTTTGCTATAGAGAATATATGTATATGTATGTGAAGCTTCTTCCTGACAATGCGCAGGGCAATTATTTATTTAAGACACTAGATACTAATTTGCTGCCAAGTTTGTAATGGGACGTTGTAGACGTTACAAAATTAGTTAGGAAACAGCATATAACCTGAGTTAAGACTACATGGTTGTTATTTTGAACTAATTAGAAAATTCCATTTTATTTTGCATCTATTTTCTTTTTTTAAATTTTTTCTGAATCGTTTTTATAAAAAGCAAAACTGCCATCTACCTTCTAAAAAGCTCGACTATATTGATTTTATCGACAAATTTTTTCTCATGCATTTTAGGTTATGTTTATAAGCTGTCACTTTTTAATTATCGAATTGCACATTGTCTTTGATTTTCTGTTATTTTCATTTTCAAATTAAATAGTGAAATGGTCTCCGCAATTGTATTATTACCAAAATATCTGAAAAAAATTCGTTTAATTTTGAGTCGATTCAATTTGGCCATGATTTGATACTTTTAGGAAAACTGTGTAATTTGTAAAACGAAATTGAATTAGTCACAGAATTGATTTATTAAAAATAAAAATTTTCTTGATACTCTAAGGGATTTGTTTTAAGAATAAAAAAGTTTAAAATCCTATTTCGATGAAAACCGCAGAGAAAATAAAATTCCAGATCGAATGAGGTTATGGTGGTTATGAGAGAAACACTCAATTGTATATCGTTTCTCTTTTGTTTTAAATAGATCTGGCACTTTGTGGCCTGAGACGAATGGCTTGCGCCTTAAACTAATTTCAAACACATTTCCGCCCTTTAAAACATGTATATACATTTAAAAGTCGAACCCTTCTTGTATGAATGACCCCATGCATGATGACATCATATATATATATTGAGGGGAGAAACTTATTCGAGCAGCAAGTTGTTAAGAACAGACTGATTTTCACACACACACGTGACACACTATATATATTTTCTTAATGGTCATTATTTCACGTATAACATTACTTTTTCAAACTTTATTTAAATTAAATTGAAAGTTTTTTTAAACTGACTGTTAGAAAAAAATAAATTAATCCAAGTAAAGGGACAAAATTTAGATAAAATTTTAACATTATACGAATTATTGTTTAAACAATTATTTTAAACATTTTTGAACATAAACGAAATTTTATAAATTTAAAGGCCAACATGGATATTACATTAAAACTTTTATGATTTAAGTATTATCTCGATTGCTGTCTCAGCGAAGGGTATATTTCGAGGTATATTTCTAAACTTGATCGTAGGAAATATTGAACAGTGCGTGAAAAAAGTAATCGATACTGTCCCTAGTTTGGCCAAACTTTTTACACATTGGTTATCTGTTCACTCGATTACTTCCTTCGTTTTCAATGGTTTCATTTTTCAATTCTAAAAGAATTCGGTACAAGTTTTAAATAATTAAAAAAAAATGTATGTATAGAATTTATCACTTGATGATACTTATATATTTATTAAATATGAAAAATAATATTAAGTGTCTTCTAAAAATTGGGTTCAGAAATTAATTTTTTTTTCTAAATATAAAAGTATAGTGTTCATCCATCCAAGCAATTTGTAGATGAATATAATGACGATACAATAAATTCTCTACGCTCAATTACCCACTTTGATGAAGGAAATGTGATTTCTTCGACAAAAGAGCTACATACAAAATTTATGCAACTGTCTCAGGCTTCTTTTTCTCATTTTGAGTAATTTAATGCCCAATTAACTATAAATTATTTAAACGCGTATTAAACAACTTTTCTCCATTTCTTTAAAGATACTTCTTTTGATATAATAAAATATTTTATCACAAATCAATATTTTTTTTAATCAAAAAATAATAATAATAATAATAATTTGATTATTACAAAAAATATGCTTTTGTCGCAAAATTTTTTTGATAATTAATTTCAGTCTTTATAAATTATATCATATTTTTATTAATTTTATTTTTTTTCATTAAAACGTTTAATGTACAGTTTTAATGAAACGTTGCTTTGTTATTAGAAACGAGAATTCTTAAAGAGAGACGATTATTTTGCTGCAAATCGATTTAGATCGAAAAAATCAGATATCAACAGTAATTGACGATTGCTATGGAGGAGGAAAAAGTTCGTTTTCCTTCTATCCAGATAAATTTATTGATATTTTCTTGAATATAAATCTTTTTTTCAATTTGGTTTCTTTAATTAACTGCGCTAAATTTAACTTTTTCTGACTTGACGATAAAACTTAATGAAAATAAATACAGTCATAAAATAATATTTGTTTAAACAATTTTTAAAAAATTATATTTGTTTACATTTATCGTATATTCTGGAACACCCTGTACATATTATGTAAATCAATAAAAAAAAACAAGCTTTTCTTTAAACGGTCTACTCTCGATTTTTAAATTAAAATTAAAAAAAAAATAGAAACCACAAATATGAAATTCACATTTTTATATACTGCTATTAATAATTTGTTACTTGCGCCTTTTTTAAAATTAAAAAGCCGTATTTTTCAAATTCTAGCAGAAGCCATTCTAATTGGATATAATGTTCAGCTTGATTCAGTTTTCAACCGGAGATTGACCCGTAGCTCGAGGTTCAATCGATTTTGTCCTTTAATTAGCAATTTCCATTTTTTTAAACAAATTTTTAGCTCGTTTAGCGCATTCTCTTTCTTTTAACTTCTAATAATTTAAATCAATAAAATTATTGTTAAATTTAAGAAACATTTTTAAGGAATTGTTAATTGTAACAAGAAAATTTTTCTTAATTAATTAATTAATACAAATTAATAATAAATCAGTTTTATTTATATATTATTCTTTATTGGATTTATTTTTGTTTATTTATGTTTCAATTAGTAGTAACTTTTTCTATAAAGATGATAATCTGCAAAAAAAAAATTTGCATCTACAAATGGCGTGTTGCCAATGTTAACGGAACTTTTATTTCATTTTATTTGAAATACAAAAGTAGAAAACTGTGACTATATATACCAAAAGAGAATACTGAACTTCCTGTCAGAAAAGAAGAAAGGCAATAAGATAAGCTATGGCGAAAGAACAATTCAATAAAATTAAAATTATTCTCAACAATTTTCTTTTGTTTGCGGTCATTTTATTTAAAAATTATTATGTTGATTGATTGAATTTAAAAGAAAATTAGATTTTTGTAAAAGTTAAAAAAAAATTATTTTCTTATTTTTCTGGGTAAAGGGAAAAAAAATTTATTTATAATAGGTATAAATGTACTTATGTAATTTTTAGAATTTATATAAATACAAATTTGGGAATTTTTATCGTGTTAGAATTGTATTATTTTTCTTGCTTGGTAGTAATCTAATAAATTAGAATCTGGTGTGATAAATAACTAAAGTGATGAACTGTTTGAACTCAAGCCAAACTTTTAATATTCCAAACCGCAGTCCAGAATTTAGCCCTTTTTAATCATAAATTTCCCAACATCTTTTAGAAATACTTTATAAAGATATCATTCAGAAAAATAATTTCCATTTAGTAAATTATTTTTTTAAATGTAATATTTAATTATTTCGAAACTTTTTCAGAGATAAAAAAAGTTTTTTTTTTTATTTAAAGATCGTAAATTAACAAACTTTTGCTATCGGAAATTATTTTTTGAATAAAACATTTTTTTTCTTTAGGCAAACTTTTAAAAATATTTGAAAAATTGTTTTGTAAACTAAAAAAAACAATGGCCAATCAAAAAGTTAAACTGTTGTTTTGCATTTTTTTTTTCGTATATACAATATACACTTTGGTGCACTTGGAGTCGTGCCAAAAGTCGACAACAGGCCCATTCAGTTCAAGTTCTGAACGATACACCGCGTTCAATAACAACTTGCCGACGTAGCTGCGATTCTAATTTTTTTTTTTTTCTCTCCCCATCACTTGAAGACACGTTGATCCATAGGCAGCTGCAGAAAAGAGCTCGGAAAAGAGCAAAAAAAGTCATCTCTTTCACTATAGCCAATGTTTGACGAAATATATATTAGGGGATGCAGTAAAACCGATGAAAGTAATCTTGAGGGAATTTCTAAAGATTCGATATTTTTCTTTCGTCTCAACTCTCACCAATCTGCATGGCGAACATCCAAAAATGTTCCTCTAGTCGCGAATTTTTTCCATTCAATTTCTTCTTATTACAGAGAGAATTGCGAGAAAAAAAATCGGTCTGTTTGTATAAATTCAGGCCTCGGATTATACGACTTTTTCGACTATTTTCAACTTTTTTTTTCAAAAATACGACTTTTTTCGATTTATTTTAATAAAATGCGACTATTTCGACTTTTTTTTACATTTTTTAAAAAATTTTTTAAAAAAATATATTTTTTTTTTGTATAAAATGCAGATCTTCTTCATATCTTCTTTATTTCAATTATTTAACAAAAATTCTTCACTAAATTAATTATTTTTAATAATTTTATTGAAATTCATCACAAATTTAATTATTTTAAATTATTTTTCAACTAAATTTTTTATAAAATTTAACAATTGTTTATATTTGAAAAAAATAACGAAAATAAAATTACCAAAAAATTTTAATTCAAAATCATAAATCAATTCAAAATCAAATGAAATTCAATTATTTTCAAAAATTTTAATTCAAAATCAACTAAAATTCAATTATTACCCAAAATTTCAATTCAAAATCTTTGAAAATTAAATTATTTTCCAAATTTTCAATTTAAAATCAGATAAAATTTAATTATTACCCAAAATTTCAATTCAAAATCAATTAAAATTCAATAATTATCCAAAATTTCAATTCAAAATTAATTATTATCAAAATTTTCAATCAAAAATTAACTAAAATTTAATTATTATCCAAAATTTCAATTATAATTCAATTATTTTCAAAAATTTGAATTTAAAATCAACTAAAATTCAATTATTACTCAAAATTTCAATTCAAAATTAATTATTATCAAAATTTTCAATCAAAAATTAACTAAAATTTAATTATCCAAAATTTCAATTATAATTCAATTATTTTCAAAAATTTTAATTTAAAATCAACTAAAATTCAATTATTACTCAAAATTTCCCATCGAAATTTTTTTGAAATTTAACAATTTCAATTATAACTCTAAGGAAATTAAAAATATTTTTAACTGTTTTTATAATATTCTTTGAAAATTCAATTATTTGAAACCATTTTTCAATGAAAAATGTTTTTCAAATTATTGTATTTTTGTCCGCAATTTCTAATAATTTTTTTTAGTGAAATCGTAAAAAAAAATTTAATTAAAAATCACTTGAAGTTCAATTAATTTTTAAAAATCTTAATTGTAAATCTTTGAAAATTCAATTACATTTAAAAAATGTTATCTGAAATTATTTGATAAATTTTTTTTATTTCTGTAAAATTTAATTATTGTCTAAAAATTAACAAAATCTTTTAAAATTCAATTATTTCTAAAAATTTCAACTTTAACTATTCCAAAAGTATTATTATTTAAAAAAAAATTTTATTTTTAAAAAGCTGTAAAAAATATTTTTGTTAAAATAAAAAAAATCGACTTTCTCGACTTTTTTTTGTGCCTTTAAGTCGATCCGAGGCCTGTAAATTTATAAAATTGTTTTTACGAAAAATTAAAATTCTCATTTTTTTATTTATAAGTTATTTTTAAGTATTATTCCATTATTTACTCATTTTGTACGGTTAAGTTAATTTTATAACTACTTAAATATATAAGAATTTAAGTGAATTTGCAAATTTGTATTTGGAACTAACAACTTTGAAAATTTTCAAACTAATTCTAATAATTAAATTTTCTTCACTTTTCAGGAGATTCTTTGCATAGTACACCGTTAGATCGAGCATATAAAAGTAAAGTTTTAGGACATTATCCGGATTCCGTGCCATGGAATTCATTCGACGAACATGCAGTTTGTATGGTAAGAATTTTATTTAAATTTCACAGAATAGAGTATATGTAAAAAATTGTAACTTCAAAATTGAAAGATTATAATTTGATTAACGAAAGGCATAGTCAAGAATAGTAATAATATATATATTTTTTAAATATAATAAAATATTAAGAACAAGTAAAATGTATATTATTTTTAAATTATTGTAATTTTGTGTTTAGTTGTGTCTACCGAGTGGCCTCAGGTTTCGCACTCAAAAACATGCGGTGGAGCCAACATTTCACTCTTTTGTTCTCACAAAAGAAGACGGACACAGAACATATGGTTTCAGTCTCGTTTTCTATGAAGAATGTCGAAATCGGAAAATCTGCGCCGCTATGCAAACACTCCAAGCCATGCACATCACAGAATTAAGCAGTGGACAAAATGGCTCATGCAATGCGTAAGAAAAATTTTATTTTATTGATTTTTAGAAATTAAATCAACGTTCAAAAATGATTTTTTTTTATTTCAAAAAATTGGTTTCTTTAATAAATAATATTTCCCCCCTATAAAAATACTCTACTATGTATGTATATCAAATTTGGGAGTTTTAGATCAAAAATTGTAAAATGTGAAAAGGAGAAACCATTTTTATCTGAAAATTTTTCGAAAAAAATGTTAAACTATTATTATTATTATTATTATTATTATTATTATTATTATTAATTGATATATTTTTTCTTCTTTGCTCTTTTGAAAAACTTATCAACAAAGTCGTATCGTTTCATTTTCTCAATTTTAATTTTGTCTTTTTTTGTTTTTCGTTTCTTTCTTTTTCTTTTTTTTTTTTTTTTACTATAGAAGTAGTGAAGAAGAAGAAAATTTTCTTTGTAGTCAGAAGAAAGGTCAAGAAAATCATAATACAAGATCATTGCCAAGACATTTTAAATTATCGGCTCATTCACCTGGAGCAGCTTTAGCGTATTATGACTCTACCAAAGACAAATTATTAGTAACCAAATCGATAAACTTACTCTGCCAACAACCTTATCTTCACGCTGCACGAACTTTTCTCACGAATCTTTACAAGTAAGTTACATATTTTACAAGAAAAAATTGTTTTTCTTTGTGAAAATTTTTTTTTTCATTGGAAAATATAGATTTTTGAAAAGTAGGGCTCATTTATTTTTAATCTTTTAAATAAATGAAAAAATGATAGATTTTTGAAATACATTTTTTTTGAAAATAGCCATATCATTGAAATAGGAGAAATAAAATAATTTGGATGAAAAATGAAAGTTGATTATTTTGCCAAGTTCCTTTTACGGTTGCACAACTAGTTTGACACAAATTATTGATTGTAAAAAAAAAAATGAACTAGGTGATTGCATAAAATCTAGAAATGGAAAGTAAATTATTTCTCTGAGGTAAATATAGTATTGATTTTTTTTTAGATATTTTTATTATTTTTAACAAATTTTTCCAGTTCAATAAATTAAAATTTTCTTTTTTTTTATTAATAGTTTCAGTCCTTTCTCTGGTTTAAGTATAATTTAATTCTTTATAAATTGGAAAAGTGAGTGCTCGAATTTTATTAAATCTTGTTACGTCTATTGACCTTGAAAAATGGTCCGCGTTTCCTATAAATCGATTATACAATAGCAATTATATTATTTTTTATATAAAAATTAAATGCAGAATTGAGAAAGTGTTTATAAATTTTATGATGAAATTAATAAAATGTTTTTTCTTTTTAACAGATGCGTTCCTCGACATCCAGGACCAGGACTTAGTTTGGAATCTTATGTTTATAATCTTCTTTATAACGTTCCGGTTCCCCTTTCTGGGAAATCGTTAAAATTTTTCGTCCCAAATGATGAACCAGCAAAATCGCCATTGGATTTGGTGATTTATCAACCTTCTCTCTCACAAGAATTACCACTCCTTGATTATCCAATAAAGGATATGTTTTCTTGGTTGGGGGTCGATGTTGTTATTCAATTGTTCACCTGTGTCCTTTTGGAAAATCAAATTTTATTAAGGAGCGCCGATTTTCATAAATTGATGGTTGTCTCTGAATGTATGACTGCACTACTTTTTCCCTTCTCTTGGCAACATGTCTATGTTCCTATCTTGCCCGCCAGTCTTTATCATTTTTTAGACGCCCCTGTGCCTTTTATTATGGGTCTCCACGCTCAAAGTGAAGGAGGAATTTTGAAAATTGCCAGCGAGGTGAGAGTTTCTCTTTTACATGAAATTTAATTTTAAAGACTTGAATTGATTTTTTTCCTTTATTATCTATAGATTATCAAGTCTTTTAAACTAGATTTTAATTTAATAACATTTTTAGAAATTAAATTGAATTTTGATGATTTAAATAATATTGAATTTTCAGGCGAATTTATGTTACGTGGATATTGACAAGTCGACGAGTCAATTTCCTGAGGAATTACCTGTTTTTCCACATAAAATGCAATTCATTGCTGAAATTCGATCTCTTCTTAACAAATTTAAAGTACCTCATTTGGAAAAGTTAGTAAAACTGATTTTTGAATTTTTTTCGTGAAAACTATCTTAAAATAGAAATAAATTTTAAAAATATAATTTTTTTCAGGACTGATACTATTGTTATGAATTATCTTAATGGTGATATCATGACGAGTAGTTTAACGCTTCCCGGTTCCGGAATTCATCTTCCCCGAAGAAAACATTCCTTACATGATGTTCTTGATTGGGATAGACCTGAACCTCCAATGCAAACTGACGCCTTGCAAAGAATTGTTGATATTGTCAAAAGAACAGGTATCTATTTAAACAATATTTCGAAATTTTATCAGTTTTTAATAATAAAAAAAGTATCTAATAACTAAAGTTTTAATTTAATTAAAATTATATTATAACTAATTTTACTTGTTTAAAAGGTGTCGCTTTAGATGATATCGAAACAGCGGAAAATTTGACAAAAACTCAAAATACAACGTCCCACGAGGAATATCAAGAAACGCTCATTTTTAATAATGCGATACGGGAAATTTTTATGAATCGCTTTGTTCAACTTTTCTCAAGTTATGACCATTTTGTTATTCATCCGAGTCAAGTGAGTATTTTATGTGAAATCTTATGTTTACTGAAAGAAAAGAAAATAAATTTTGAATGATATTTTTCAGGATAAGGACGAGTGGCTAAATAATCGGGACAGTATGCATGTTTTCGATAAAGCAACATTTCTGTCTGATCAACCTGCTCAACATTTGCCCTTTCTATCAAGATTTCTTGAAACACAAATGTTTGCCTCACTCGTCGACTGTAAAGTTATGTCAGCTTGGAATGAATTGGACTTCAATATTCGACTCTTCGATCAGCGAATTTTTCAATTAAAGTAAATATTTTGTCCGTAATTTTAATTTTTTGTTAGTTTTTAGAAATTTTTACTTAAAGTAAAGAAAAAAAAGGTTGTCTTTAAAGACTAAAGATTGTTGTAAAAAAAAAAATTCAGAGTGAAACAAATTTAGAAAAAATTTACAGTTTTGTATTTATTTAATTATTTTTAGAAAGAGAGTTGGAGAGGGAATAATTCGATCACCTCGATATGAAGTTTGCACGAGTATAACGGAAACGCAGAATTTATTGGAACAAAGGCTGACTAATGTGGACTTCGAAGCAAGTCCTCCGACTGAAATAGTTCCACATAGAGCTGCATATTTTCGAAGTTTTCCTCTCCTCGATAGAACGGCACTCAACAAAGAACCCGCCCAAAGGTATATTTTTCATTTTTCAATTTTCTCAAAATTTTCCTCACATAATATTTCCAATCTTCTAACACAATCGTTTTATTTTCCCCGCATTCCGCAGTATTCTTCGGTAAGAATTCTCATTCAATGTTTGTTCATGTAATTCAATTGTGTATGTTTCATTTCGTTAAAATTGAATTTTAATATTTTCGTATATTTTTAAAAATATTTTATTATTAAATAGTTTATTATTAGGATATTATTTTTAATTTTTTTTTTCTCTTTGTAGCTGTATTTTATTATTGTTAAAGGATATGTTATTTATAATTATTTAGTTTCTTTTGTAGCAAAATTTTAATTGCATTCTTTTATCAGCAGTAGAAGAGGTCAAACTCAGTGGAAGTACAAAATGAAAGCTCTCGAGTCAAATGGAAAAACAGCAACACCGCAAGAAACTCAGTCGCCGAGACCGCAGTCGAAATTTTCCGCCGACATGAATCCAGCTCTAATTGCTCAAACAAACTGGACTTTCGTTGAAACATTGTTGAGGGTAATTACAAAAAAAAAAAATACAAATAATTAATTTTAATAAAAAATAAATAAATATCAATTTAGAATAAACGATTTACTTATTACGAATATGAAGTAAAATTTGCTGGTAATGTTAAAGTGGTTCAAAATGAATTAATTGATTTGTAAAAATCGTAGGACTGTAAATCGAAAACGAAACGAATGTTGGTCGAGAAAATGGGATCGGAAGCTGTGGCTCTGGGACACGGAGGGGAATCTCTTTCGGATGTAGAGGAAAACACATTGGTCGCCAGTCTCTGCGATTTACTCGAACGTGTTTGGAGTCACGGTTTACAAAATAAACAAGGAAAAAGTGCTCTTTGGTCCCATCTTAATATGTATCAGGAACTAGAAGATGCTAACGATACTTCCAAATCAGTTGATGCGAATTTTCTATCGCCTGGTAAGAAAAAATTTTAGCTATTTTTTTCTTATTTCAACAATTTTTATTCATAGTGCAATCATATCACGAAAATTATTTTTCTTAACAAATGTGTAGTTTCAAAAACAAAACAAAAAATTATAAACGATTCCAGTCAACGTTATTTTCAAATTGAAATATTAATTATTGTGAAATGTGATAATTTTCTCATTTTACAGAAAAAAAGTTTTTTTGTACATAAAAATTAATATTCAATTTGATATTAAAAATGCAGCGTTGGCTTGGTGCGTGCTTCGGAAGCGGCTTGACTGTACGTTGCTCAACATTCAATCCTTTTTAGTTTTATTTCACTTACAATAATTATTAACCAGTAGTTTTTGTGTAACAATTTTTCAAACCGTAAGGATTATACTTGGAATCTTTTAATTTTTATTTCAGAGACAAAATATTTCACTCTGAATTTTTCAAAGTAAAATTTCCTTTCGGTTTTAAATTTGCACTTTATTTAGTTGTTTTAACTGTTAAGCACTGCTTTTGATTTTTAAACAATAGTTTCACAAAATCACAAACTTTAAGCTTACGGCGAGGGAACAAATATATTTGTCTAACATATAAACATTTCTAAATAGTTCTAAAACTTTTCTATTATATATCTTTTTTTTATTTTTAAAGCTGTTAATTTAAATTTAATTTTCTACAATATCGTCATTAATGTTCTGCCTTGTAACATTTTTATTTTACAGGAATTGAATGTTTAAATTTATAAATGTTCATATAGAAAAAAAATTCCATAATATTTTAAAAGGTTGAAAAATGAATGTGAAAAACTTTTGAAAATCTATTCCGACATATTTAATTTGAAATAAAAGTTTCTTTATTTCAAAAGTTGACTTTAAAATTTAATTTGAATAAAAAGTAATACATAATTAAAATTGTCAATAGTTAATTTTATTTAGTTAAAAATTTTGAATTTATAATTTTAATTTTGATTCGCTTTTATTTTATTACTTTTTCGTAATTATTGTGTTTTTATATTTATGTTGTAAATAGCTAAGAAACCTTCGACTAACTATTTTGGGTTGACGGACCGTTTCGTTTCGTCCTTAAAGGAGAAAAACATTTATAAAATTGCTTCGTATATCAAGAACAATTTTAACGGTAAGCCTTTGCCTTTGGCTTCACCGAGACTGGTTTCTTTGCTCGGCATTATTTTAACAAAAGGGACAAAATAATAATAAAAATTGTAGATTTAAAAAAAAAATGGTTTAAAGTTTAAAAATATCTTAACAATTTTTTTCCTTACGCTGGTAACACGCATGTTTGATTTATGTGGCTTTTTACTTTCAATTTCTTGAATGTCTTTTTTCTATCTTCTTAATATTTAATTTAAATGTTTTTTGTTTCAGATTGATATTTTTTACAATATTAGTTTTTATTTAGGACAATTTTTTTGATTGTTTATAACTGTACTTAAATCAATATTAAATGGTCCTTGATAAATTTATTTGCATGATGCTAATAAATGAAAAAAGTAAATTATTTTCAATTTTTCTTATTGCTGAAAAGTTATGTTATTAAATATATTATTTGATAATCATTTTTAAATAAAAATTGTGCATGTAAATTTTCAATTTGACTTATTTATAGTCAATAATTATTTATATGAATGTTTATATATATTTATTTATTTATTATAGTCTATCATTGTTTAACTAGAGTTTTATTAATTAAATTTAAATATATTTGTCTATATTGTTTGGATTAATGAGACATATTTTGAGAATATGTATTAGTAAAATTTGCCTGTTGGATTTTGACTTTTAATTGAATGCATTTTGGTTTCAATAATAAAGTGGAAAAAAAACGAAGAATATTTGATAAAATTTTATGAAATCTTAGATTTATCAAATCTGGCTTTGGAAACGGACGTTTCTCCAACGAGAGGAACAGAAAGAAGTAGAACGCCTGGTGAGAGGAAATCAATTGGTCCTGAACAATTAAGACCGCTTCCCGAATCATTGATCTTCGATATTCGAAATGTTCAAGCGATGACGGATATAAAAACTCATATTGGATATGCCAGAGCTTGGGTACGACTCGCACTAGAGAAAAAATTACTCTCGCGTCATTTGAAGACACTTTTAACCAACACTGGATTGTTGAGGTATTCATTTATTTTTATAAAGAAGAATTTATATTGAACCTAATTTTTATTTAGCAGATTTTTTATTTATACGAATTTTAAAATTAACCAATCAGAAACACTAAATACATAATTTTGTATCTTTAAAAAAATTTTTTTAATTTGATAAATTGTAATTTTTTTTAAATTTGTATTATTTCTTCTTTTTATTAAAAAAAAAAACAAATAGGAGCCAGTACAAAAGATCAGCATTTTTGCGCTGTGAAGAGGAAAAGGAGCAATTTTTGTATCATCTGTTGACGTTGAACGCTGTTGATTATTTTTGCTTCACCAACAATTATCCATCCACAAAATTACCATACAGAGTTGTAATATTTCCGAGCAGAAAAGCAAGCGCAGCAACAACATCAGCCAATAGTTGGATTGCCATTTCCGGTACTCTCTGCGAAACTAATCCTGTCCCAATTCCAAGAGGAGCACTGGAATTTGTCTTTCATGTTAGTTTTTTAAAAAATAACTTTAATTATCTGCGGGAAATTTAATTTTTTAACTTTTTCATCTTACTGATTATTTCAATTTCTTTATATGTTTTTATTATTCGATATTTTTTCATTTTAGCACAAAAATTTGGGTGTGCTGTCGACTTTACGAATTGGTCACGATAATTCGGGAGTGTCTCCAAAGTGGATGGTTGAACATGTTGTAGTGCGAAACGAAGTGACAGGACATACTTTCAAGTTTCCTTGTGGACGATGGCTTGGTCGAGGTATAGACGATGGTTCGACGGAAAGATTATTGGTGGGAGCTTTGGTACCGAAAAGTATCGACAGTGAGGAATTGGTGGAAACATGTTCAACTCCTCCGAGATGCAGATCTCCGAGTATTCCTAGAAAACCTTCTTTGTCTCAAAATGAACTTCAACATATGCTCGGTACTACATTTTTTTTTAAACATACCATAAACTTTTTATTATTACTTATTATAAAGTTTCTAAATTTCATATTTTTCACATATATTTTTTTTAATACTAATAACTAAATTAATAAAAGAGAAAAAATATTAAATAATTGATTGTATTAATTTTAGGAGAGGCTGTGAATTCCATAGTGAAATTTCATTACCGCAGGGATCCACAAGACGGATCTTTGACTGCATTACTTTGCGGTGAAGGAGGTCTTGTTCCTTCACTTGAACAAATTTTTCTCTTTGGATTCAAAAATCAGAGGATATTTGGTCGTAACTTTTTTGTATGGGATTATTTTTGTAAGTTTAACTTAAATCAAACTGATTATTATGATACTAGTTAAAATTTCATAATAGTAGATAAAAATTGAAATTCTGTAATTTGGAAAAAAAAATTTTACTTAATTAAAAATTATTAAATTTTCTGATTTCTTTAGTGCGAGTGAAAGAAAATTTTGAAATGATCTTGCTAGAAGAAATGGATCAATATTCGCAAAGACTTGGTAGAGACAGAAGAGGTCACATGGAAAGTAGTCAGAGATTTGCAATTCTGCGATGCTATTGCCACTTGATCGATCAAATAAATACTTTTAGTCAAACACTTGGAAAGGATGGAAAATTCCAGTTATTTGTTTGTCTTTCCGCAAGGTATTTATTTTTATATTTTTTACCAAGTTAAAGGCATGAATTCCTCAAAAAAAAATACATTAGAATTTAAATTGTTTTAAAAAAATTCACTTTTTTAAAAAATAATATTCACAGGGAACAACTTTTGCATCCAATGCTACGACCGATGAGCGAGGCACGAAGTACAGTGGAAATGTATGAAGAACTTTCCTTCCTTAGAAATGTAACTTTGCTCACGTTTCTTATTCAAATTCTCGAGCCTCTCAGTGAATTTCACATCGTTCTTGAAAAAAGTCTCACTCATGGAATTTCCAGTCTTTGTTAATTCATGGATCTTCCAACGAAATTTTTTCAGTGGCTAATTTCCCAAGGCAGTACAACATTAGTTTTTAAGAAAAAAAATATAGAATTAGATATTGTTAAGGAGGATGAAATACTTTAAAGGGATAAAAAAACCGAAAGCTTCGTAAATGGAAATTTTACCATCTTTTGAATTGAAAATCATTTTCAGTGAGAAATATTCAAGTTGGGAATCGAAAATTGTGATTTTAATTCGAAAGCGTTGACAAAAATTATTTGTCTCTGAGTCCTAAGATGAAACCAAAGATATTATTTTGCACTATTTCGTTACCGCGTGATTGACATTATTATTTTACGAAATACTCATTTTTATTTGTTGTTGATCTTTTTTTTTCTTTACACGTATATAAGTGAGAATCTCGACAAAGATTTTATGTTCTATTTTCTTTCCGCACGTTGTGTTCATAAAAAAATGAAATTAATTTCTTAAATAATTTTTTAAAAATCTTTTTTCTTTTACTTTAATTTCTTTTAAAATAAACCGAAAATAATTTTTCAATTTTCTCTTTGATTTATTAGACTTCAAAGTTTTATTTTTTCTTTTTTTTAGAAAAATGGAAAAGAATACAGCTGACTGAATTCTTATATTCTAAAAGATATTGTAAGTTAAAATTTGGTTAGATAGTTTTATACAAGATGCTGTTTCAATCGTCGCTCTTAGATGATAGTAGTCGTCTTTATATTACGTAACAAAAAAATTTATTCATTTTGAAATTTTTTGTAACTTTTTTTTTACGTTGCGTTACAATTTTTTTCCTTATGGTCCACTATTATGATATTTTTATGAAAATTCTGAAAACAAGTTACGTAATATGTATCGAGAGCGAAGAGAATAATGTCTTGTTTCTTCTAGAATAATTTTTTTTGTTTAAGAAAAAAATTTTCTACCCTTTTTATCTGATGTTTGTTGGTTAGTTGTAAGTGCATTTTAATGTCCTGAAAGCATGTAAAAGTGAGAAATAAACGGATTTTGTACATAAAAATACGTCCAAATGCACAATAAAAAAATAGTTAATTTAATTAGTCATAAAAGTGATTATGGACCAAACGTAACAGCGATTTGGTGAAAGTGAGTGATTCTTTATGCTCTCTACTCTTTTAAACAGAAAATTCATTAAAGCTGCCCAAAATTTGATTTCATAAAAAATTTAAGAAACAAAGAAGCGTTTTAATAATAATCAATTGTTATTAATTAACAGTTGAGCTCCATTTTTATTTAAAATATTTTTAAAAATTTTGTTAACTTATTCTTCTTTTCAATTTTAACAGAACTTTACTGTGACTTTGTGCCCAAATGTCAAACTCAGGAATGATTTTATTCGTTCGATAAATGTTGTCATGTGCCAAAACGGGCTTTTCAAAAAATATAAATTTTATTTCTCAGTATCAAATTGAAAACATTTTTTGTCTCGATTTTTATTTTATCAAGAAACATAAAAAATAATTACCTAGATATTTTTTAATTGATGTCTATAATGTTTCTTTTAATTTTTTATAATTTGCAAATAAAATGTAAGTACAGAAGAGATGCTATTAGAATTTAAGATTATGTGTCAAGAATAAATCGGAACTTTATATTTCAATCTCGAATTTTTCCAATAACTTCGGATTTGTTAAACATAATAATAAATAATTAATAACAATTATAAAAATTAATAATAATAATAATAAGAATAATATAATAAGAATAATTAGTAGATTAAAATTACAGTTTGAAATTCTTTATTGTAACATTTTAAAGTATAATTTTTGTTTCAAAATGAATACGAGTCTATAATAATTATGTGAAAACTTGTTTAATTAAATTCTTTTCGAAAAGAATAATTTTTAATCATTACATATTTAAATTGACATTATAAGTTTGAGATTCTATAAATATTTTTTCCTATTTTTATTGAAATAGAAGACATTCTTCAATTTCTGAATGATCTGCAAAATTGTGTAAAATTATTCGCTGAATAAAAATCATTATAGAGAACATTTTAATTGTATATTTACAAAGATGTTTTAATAAGTAAAATATTGTTGTGCACTTTGTAAATAAAGCATATACATAACTTTATTGAATTGAAAAATAAAATCCGAAATTCACTTTGAGAAGAATGTCTATTATGTGATAGAGATTATATAGATGTAAATAAAATATATATGTAATAGAAAGAAAAATGTACAGTAGAGTAAAAAATAATTATATAACCTACTCGAAATATATTGACGGTGAAAAAGGTTAATTTGAATTAATTTATTTTTACACTCAAAATGCACGTTTATGGTTTTAGAATTATCAAAACTTGAATTAAATTTTTTTTTTAAATTAAAGTTAAAAAAACATACATTATGAAATTAGAAAAAATAGAATAAAATAATAAATTGATGAATTAAATAAATAGTAAATAAATCAATTGTTGAATCGAAAATCATAAAATTCGATATTGCAAACAAATTTTATCAAATGTTATAAATATCTGTTTTTGGACTTTGAATATCGATTTACAGTACTTACTTTTATAATCAGTCAAATATCTCATTAAATTGTGTTAATTCAAAGTTTGTTGTGTTGCTTTAAAAATAAAGTACTTTATAGATATTATTTACTTTTACATTTTGTGTTTAAATCGAATACGAGAAAAACAATTTCAAAAAGTATTTTTACAAAATGACCTTTTTTATTTCTTATTAAAGCCATATACAAATAAAGGTTTTATATTGGAAAAATGTTTAATAATTATAAAAAATTAGGACACAAATTAAGTAAAGACTATTCTATTAATTTTGACTGTATATGTTTTTCTTGATGAAATTATTTATTTATTTAGCATATTTAACGGGGGCCACAAAGTCTATTGTTCCTAAAGCTAACAAGTTGTTACCAACCGTAATAGACAAAAAAAAGAACATAATTCTATATAGCTCTAGAAAATAAAATACGAAATTATTACTTATTAAAAAATTAAACAAATTAATTAATTATTAATATGTAAATACAATACAAAATGTTATTTAACAACTAAACAGGAATATTTTGGTCAAAACAATGCATAATTCTTATCACAAGTGTCGATTCTGTGTCAAAAGAATAAGTTTCCTGTAAATAATCTGATAAGATTTTAATCTTGCTTAAAAAACAGTTTATAAATGGTAAGTAATCATGATTTCAATGAAAAAACCATTTTAGCTAGAAAAGTTGAAATTGCAAAAATTCCCCTCATTATCATTCGAGGCATTCTCCTCGGTGGATTATTTTTCATATTCTATATTAATTACTTTTACCAAAAAACAAACTTTGAACTATGGCTAAATTTTTAAGTTTTTCATTTTTAACAATTTGTATTTTACTTTTAGTGAAAGGCAATTTATCAACCCCTATTATACAATCAATAGTAAGTTACATTACTCTTATAATAGTTCCATTATTTGTGGTTTATTTTATGTAAATTTAATAAACTTTTTTCATTTTCTTAATTTATCGATCGATAAATGATGAAATTTAGAAAAATCTTAAATTATAACAGCTATTTATTAAAATTTTATCATTAAAAATAATTGTGCGAACAAATTTTATTAATAATTAAATTCCCTTATCTGTAATTGGGTCAGTCCACTGACTTTCGTCTAATAGTGGTTGCGACCAAATTTAAAAAAAATCTAGTTTTAATATATGTGAAACTCGATGATTCCCTGAGTTCATTAACCATATAATATTATGGTAAAAATTTTATTCCCTTTAAAAATATTAAATATCAAAAGTAGGAGGTTCACAATGTGATTTTGTAACCTTAAATTTTTCAATTTTTTTAAAAACGCTATTATTAAAAAACTATTAAAAATTAGATGTTGGAACTTACCAAAAACATAAATCACTTTATTCTGCACAGAGGAACGAAAGAATTATTGCAAAAATTTATTATTTTTCGATGATATACGATTTTAAAAAAAATTTTATTTAAATATTCTCAAGATTTTTATTTACTTATAACTTTTTTGTCGGTGCTCCGAAAAAATTGAGGTTTTGCACAAAGATTTTTTATAATATTCTTTACCTTCTATTAAAATCTTACGAAGGTGTTTTGCTTCGTTTTGGAGATATTAATTTTCAAAATTTTTTATTTAAAAAGGTTAATTAAAAGATTTGAAGTTAACTAACCAAATTCAAACTGCTCAATTTTTTATAAAAATATATTAAAATGTAGCGATTTGAAATTGGTCAGTTAACTTCAAGTCTTTTAATTAACCTTTTTAAATAAAAAATTTTGAAAATTAATATCTCCAAAACGAAGCAAAACACCTTCGTAAGATTTTAATAGAAGGTAAAGAATATTATAAAAAATCTTTGTGCAAAACCTCAATTTTTTCGGAGCACCGACAAAAAAGTTATAAGTAAATAAAAATCTTGAGAATATTTAAATAAAATTTTTTTTAAAATCGTATATCATCCAAAAATAATAAATTTTTGCAATAATTCTTTCGTTCCTCTGTGCAGAATAAAGTGATTTATGTTTTTGGTGAGTTCCAACATCTAATTTTTAATAGTTTTTTAATAATAGCGTTTTTAAAAAAATTGAAAAATTTAAGGTTACAAAATCACATTGTGAACCTCCTACTTTTGATATTTAATATTTTTAAAGGGAATAAAATTTTTACCATAATATTATGGTTAATGAACTCAGGGAATCATCGAGTTTCACATATATTAAAACAAGATTTTTTTAAAATTTGATCGCAACCACTATTAGACGAAAGTCAGTGGACTGACCCAATTAAAAAAATTTTTTCAGCCAGGTGGAATTAACAGAATTGATGTGTACCAATCGGATATTTTGAAGTATATAGATCTTGCTCGCAAAGAATATTCTCAAACTATGGAAAAAACTTACGAACCTGTTATAATTGAAGTGAGAAAAGCTACTACTCAAGTCGTCAGAGGAATAATATACAGAATCGATTTAACATTTGCAGCCAGTGTATGCAAAACAGGAATTAAAAATTGTCCCGCATCATTTGAGGGAAAAGTGGACAAATGTACATTCGAAGTCTGGTCACAGCCATGGATTGATAATGGTTCTCCCAAGTATAAATTAATTTGTTAGATACTAATTTATTTTATTTACTTATTTAGTTGTAAAAAGGTGAAAAAAAAATAAAATCTGTAATCACAGACTTTACATATATGCATTATGTACAATTTTTTATCTTTTCTCACTTTATGGAATACATGGGAATCTATTTTTTTTTTTAATAAAAAATTATTTATTCTTTTAACATTATCTATTTCCCTAATCAATAAATCGATTGAAAAAGTTGTGCAGAAAAGAGCGCTATAGGAAGAATTTCAATATTAACCATTTTTATTTTCTTTCAATTCGACATTTTTTTTTATATTAAATATTATATAATGAGAAAGATCTTCTTTTATTTTCTTATAAACTTAATGAGTAAATGGCTCTTAATGAATAAAAAAAATTTTAGTTTTTATTTTAAATAATTGTGATAAAAACGCTACATAGACTTTTTCTGTAAAAGTATATCGAAAAGCAGCAAAAACAAATGTTTTTTCACGTGTCTATCAATAATTTATTTTTTTTCTGTACCTCATGTAATTTTTTATATAAATAATAATTATTTTTTATAAAAATGTCAATAACTCCAGAATTGACATGTGCATTACATATATACAATTTTCACTTTTCAACGATCGAAAACTTTCAATAAACACGTACCTGTATAAGAATATTGACATATATTAAAGTTTATGCAAGTTTTCGCACTTCCAACTAAATGGAAAATTTTGTTCTACATCAATTTCTTGTCAGCTATTATAAATAAGTTTTGAAATATTTTAAATAAAGACAAATTTACTTAAATTCCTTCATATACCTACATATAAAACTGAAGAAGAAATATACGAAAAAATATCTTCATTAAAATAACAAAATAAGTTATTGAAAAAAAGATTTTGATTTCACGAAGAATAGTTTCAATATAATTAGTAACGATATTCAAATAAGAAATGAGGATCCAGAAAATTTTGCTGAGTATTTTCTTTATAATTATTAATAATGCTCAAAAGAGTACAACGAAAACAAAATGGTCTCAACATTTGATCAATTACATTCAAGTTCATTCCCGGAAGTACCAGATATTCCTAATTGCCAACAATGATGAGCAAGATTTTAATGCAAACTTGGTTTTCAAAATTCAAACAAGTTTCCCAACTCAGCATGTCAATTTTCATTGCATAAGAGAAAGCCCATCAAAATGTTTGGAAAATCATCAATTTTTCATAAATCCTCGAGGAACGAATTTGTTTATTATTATTCCTTCTCTAAACGCAACAGAAAATTTACATCAGACAACAGATGCAATTAATGTTTTCAACCGTTTGTCAGGAGGTCGAACACGACCAAAATGGCTGGTTATTTTTCCTAATGAGGAAAAGGGGTTTTCATACAAGAGATTGTTGCGAAAAATGTGGAGCCATCAAGTATTGGATGCCACTGTTCTCATAAAGAACGAACTACCATTTGCAAATAACTATTTTACTAAAGGAATTAATGAAGGTACTGCGAAACTTATTCAATATAATCCGTTTTTGAAGACAAAACAGTTTTTCAAATCGAGAATAACATCGGAAACCAAATGGTTTCCAAACAAACTCCACAATTTACATGAAACGGAATTAAATGTCAGTCTGTTTAGTAGATATCCTCTGGCGAATGTGACGCGCAATGCTTCTGGTTATGTAATTCAAATGTCCGGCAGGGATGCAAACATTATAAGATTCATGGCAGAGGAAATGAATTTTTCAATTAACATGGTCCCACATAATTACACTACAATTGGAAGAATTTATCCATATGGAAATCAATCTGACGGTGTAGCCAGAATGCTGGAGAACAACACATTGAGCCTCGTGGCCAATAGTGTTTTTGGAACAGGACCTACTTTTCGCAGTTGGGCTGAGTTAACTCGAGGATTTGAATTGGTTGCTATTCAAGCTGTTGTACCTATTCAAAAGGACATAATATCATCTCTTATTATTACTAAAAATATGTCAACAACACTTGTAATTTGCATTGCCATGATTTTTTCCATGCTGATCTTGGCCAGAATTTTCAAATTGGATAAGGAAGTATGGCAACCTTTCATTCTATTCCAAATACTCTTTGGATTTGGTGTTTCGAAGGAACCAAAACAACTTGTCGATCGTATTATTTTCGCCTCGTTGTTAATCACCTCGCTTATATTGTCAATGAACATCTATGAGGTTTGTACTGACATTAGCTTAAACTATGAAATTGAAAAAGAAATGAATTCCCTCGATGATTTGCTCAAATCAGGTTTAAAGACAAAAATTTCTGAATCAATCAGAATTAATATTATAGAAAACGCCGATAATGGATCGACACTTTATAGGGTTTTAGATAATGCTGAAGGTATAATGTACAATAAACAAATTGATTGTCTTGAAGAATTGGCTAATTACAGAAATGTTTGTTGTCTCTTGCTGGCATTAAAAACAGAGCATGATGTTGATAAATATAAAGACGAATCTGGTAATCCAATTATGAAAGTCATACCGGAAATTGTACGTCATGCATGGTATTACATGTATTTTGAACGAGGATCTCCTTTTGTGTCAGAATTCGATCGTGTTTTTCAGCTAATGTCAGAATCTGGTATTTATAGTAGATTGAAGGAGATGCCAAAACGTTGGTATGCAGAAAATACTGATCAATTTGAAAGCAAGGAAATTAGAAAAGTTTGTGAACTTTTACGATACTTTTTTCTGGTTTTTCTTATTGAAAATTGCTTAACAATTGTTATCTTTCTTCTGGAACGTTTCATTCCGAGGAAAATTTTTTCAAATTTCTCTCCGTGCAGGAAATAAAACGGTACATTCATTTTGTGTTGTATGAAAATGAGACTTTTGCACGCGTGCTAAAATTTATATGCTGAAGTTTGTTGCAGATATTTTAACTGTTTTTTTTAAAAATGTTTTTGGAATATATGTAATAATTTTCTATGTTTTCAGAATTTTTAGAAAACCGCAGCAATTGATAAACTTACTCTATATAAATTAAAAAATAATTCAGAACAAAAAACCTTATTAATAATTAATTTTATTCTATTTCATTTGTCCATCAAGAAAATAAATTACTCAAAAATTGGTGAAATTTGAAAAAAAATCTACTTATTGAAATAATTTTAAATGTTCTCCTAATATGTCTTTGTAAATATTGACCCAAAAATTCAGTCGATCTTTGTAAAGATCTTTCTCCATTTTCAAAGGCACATTGATATTCATGTAATTTCCTTCGGGACCTGTGGGTTCCCAATTTACTGTGATATCATCGTCTAATTTGCTTGTAGGATTCCTGCGACAAGAAATAATAATTAATAAGAGATAAAAGAAGAAATTAACTTTTTTAAATTCTCAAAATAATGATAAATTTATAAATTTACAGTAATTTTTAGTTATAGAAAAGTAAATAAAGTGTTACCCATTTTTAGCAAAATTTGTCCAAAGTTTCGTGAATGTTTTTGTCATTTTCTCCTCAGTTGAACCTGGCTCTGGCTTGTTATTAAAATATTTAGAATAAAATTCGTAATTTAAGTCATCACCATCCGAGACACCAGCTGAATATAAAGTGTAAAATAAATATTAATTATTAAAAATTAAGTGAAATTACTGAATCAACACTTACGTTCTTCTACTTTTAATATATTTTTTACAAAACCAGCTGGTGAATTATATGTAAATAAATATTCGTAAATTGGTTGCTTATTCTTTGCTGCCATCATTTGTGACACAAACGCAATTCCATAAGTAAAATAAATGTCAGACGTTAACTGAAATTGTTTATAACAATTAAAATTTAATATCCACTCAATATTAGTGTTAATATATTGACAAAACTTATTTTATATAAGTGAAATTAAATTTTTTCTACTTTAACAAATTCTGAAACGCTTTGGGAATTAAAAGCTTTCCCATCGAAATAGAATTTTCTTATTGATTCTGCAATTTCTTTGAGTTTTCCATCATCCGTAATATTAAGACTATCGGGTACAAATAATTCAAAATGATTATTAATTTCATCCGCCTTTGGTAGTATTTCTAGACAAAAAAGTTGTTTCAAATTACAATTAATAATAATAATAAACTTAAATGAATGTAATAATTAATTGTCAATTTTAAGACCTTTTGTTATGAAAATCATTTCGTCTGAAGTCATTCCAATAATTAAGGGAATATCGGAAAAGCTACCGGATTTCATCAACTCCCACGGATCGGTTGGCAAAAATACTTCCTGACCTGCTTGTGGCTCAATTACAGGTACAAATGCACTCATTCGACCATTCAATAAATTCTAAAAAAGTAAAAAAAAAAAAATATTACAGGAAGTAGAAAAAATAGGAAAAAAAGGAAATTAATAAAAAAAATACCAAATTATTATTGCTAATTTCTGCTGTTGCATCGACAAGTTGTTTTGCTGAAAATTCAGTCAATTTTTTGACAAGCTCTGCCGAATCAGTGGTTTTTATACCCAGATATTCACCCAATTTGAAAGACATTTCCTTTGCATTGTGACTAATTGCATATCCGCCTAAAGCGGTTCCACTTTGCATAATGGCATTCTTAAATAAACCTGCAAATTAGTTGTCACTACAATAATTATTATTATTAGTAAATAAATAAAAAAAGAAAATTTCCTTTTTTTTAATTATTTAGATTATTATTTAATTTCGTAAGATTAACCTTTTGACATAGGAGAAAGAATATGATAATGAACGGAAGATGATCCAACGCTGACTCCAGCAATTGTAACTTTGTTCGGACAACCACCAAAATTTTGAATATTTTCTTTAACCCATCGAAGGGCCATGACTTGATCCTTCATACCAGCATTTCCTGGAGCGTTGGCGTCATTTGTACTTAAAAAACCTGAATATTTTCCAAAATAAAATAAATTTATAACGATGTCTACCTAATGTCTACCTAAAGTCCGCTTAGTTAAGTAGACATTACGCAAATCGAATCCGCCAGGGATTAAATGATGTATCTTACCAAGTGCACCAAGTCTATAGTTGAAAGTAACGAGGATGACATCATCATCAATAAGAAAATCAGGGCCAAAGAGATCGTCATCTCCCGAGCCAGAATTGAAAGCACCTCGATGGAAAAATACAATAACTGCTTTTCGTGCATTTTTATCAATAGTCGGTGAATAAACATTGAGAAAAAGGCAATCTTCATCTCCAAATAATCCTTGACGAATATGACAATAAAAGACACATGTCGAGCCATGTTTCGTTGCATCTAAAACTCCTTGCCAAGGTTCCGGTGGTTCAGGTGCCTTTTAATTTATACGAATTTCAAACAAATTGTATTCAACCCAGGTGAAACGATTCTACGGAAATCACTCCACGGAAATTCCATACGGAATTCCGCAAAATTTTGAAAGTATTCGTTTCGTAATTTTGCGAATTTTTTTTGGAAGAATTCCATACAGAATTGCAAAAAATTTTCAATAAAATTCCACAATTTTATTTTTTGCTGATTTTTTTGTGATTTTAAAATAACTGCTGCTACTATAACGAAAACTAGTCGACGATGATGTTACTGGTGCGGATATAATATAGAATTTATGATAGATTAATTAATATCTAGTCGAACTTATTTGAGAGGTCAATAAAACGTTTTCCAAAAGAAATTTACTATTTTTCAGTCAACTATAACTAACGGTAGTTGAAGTTCTCGACTAATTTTTTTCAGTGTATCCACCAGCAGTTATTTTAAAATTACAAAAAAATCAGTAAAAAATACACTCAATAAAAAAAACTAGTAGATTTGACTATACTTTTTAACTACCCTGCATAGTTCAATAGGTCCTTAACTGAATTTAAAAAGTTTTATGGACTATTAAAAAGTAGTTAAAAGAACTAAGAATTTAGTTGGGTCAAGGAGATTTTGTATAATTGTTCTAATTTTTGAAGTTGATTTAACTACTTTTGTTAAGTACAATCAACTACTAATTCTTAACTCCATAAAAAATAGTTAAATTGACTACACGCATATAGTTAAAATAACCAAAAAAGTAGTTACTTTTACTACTTTCAAGACAGTTAACTAAAGGTAGTTGAGGATTTCGGCTAAATTTTTTTCAGTGTACAGTTGTGAAATTCTAACAAAAATTTTGTGCAATTCTGTATAGAGATTATGTGTGTAATTCTTATAAAAAATTCGCAAAATTACAAAAGAACTTCTTTCAAAAATTTTGCGGAAATTTTTGCGAAATTCCGTATATAATTTTTACGGAATTCCGTGTGGAATTTCCTTACGGAATTTCCATGGAGTAGTTTCCGCGTAGAATCGTTTCACCTGGGTTAAAAGTTTATTAAATTCTAAAAAAGATTGCTTATTGTTTATTTATAAAAGAATTTAAAATTTAAAATACTCACTCTGAATTTATTGGGTCCAACATTTGGTTGTGCATAAGGAATTCCTTTAAAACTGAAATAAGTTTTACCATTTGTTACTGTTGTTGCTTTTAATCCTTTTAGCGTCCCTTGACGAATATCAAGACTAATTTCTTCTTCAGCACTTGTCCAAATAATTAAAAATATGCAAAAAACAAAAAACTTGAAAATCCACATTTTCTAACAAAATGATAATAAAAAATATTGATGGCAAGGTTTTATATAGTCTTCATACAATAAATTAAGTGTTTCGATTGATAATCAAATTTTAAAGTTGCACGTATACAATATTATGTAACAACACTATTACATACATTGTATGAATATTTGTCATGCAATTCTTTGATTTTCTAATAGTTCTGAAATTTTCTTCCCATTAGTCAAAATTAATTGAAAAGAATATATTTCTGTATATGTATATATATGCAAAGTTATAATGATTTATATCGTTCATATTTTTATTATAGCTTCCAATTTTTATGATCATTATATTGTCATTGTTAACATTTTGTATAGAAAACATCGATTTAATTTTTGTTACACACAAATCATTCTTTGTTACATATATAATTACAGCAGGAAATAGCCTGAAATCGATGCTCATTCATATAATCAAATCTTATTATTAAGTTTCATAACATTTTACAAAGTCACTATATGTATGATATAAGATTTTAAATAGAAAATTAAAATATTGTCCATTTAAAAATGGACAATTTTTTAATTTTCTAAATGCATTATGTACAATTTTCTCTTATCAACAATCAATCTACTGTAAAAGTAGACAAGAAAAAATTATTTACTTTTTCACAATTCTTTATTTCTTTTTATATTTTATTCCAAATACTCTTTGGATTTGGTGTGAAGAAGGAACCAAAACAACTCTTTCATCGTATTATTTTATTACTTTCATTGCTTCTTTTTAATAAACTTCATTATAATTTGTAATTATAAAATTCGAATTTGAAATCATATACTAGTTAATAAAATATTTTCTACTTGTTACTCGGTTTTTATAATATTAATATAACACTTACCTATGTAATTTTCCGATAATTGTAAAAAATTATAACAGATTAAACAAATAAAAACTAAAAAAAATTTCTTGTTATTACATTGCATTTTTTCAAAAATAAGTATACCAAATGCTCTTCGCAAAGAGCAAAAGTTGGATTTAAATATTTTAAGTATGTTTGACTGATTATAATGGGTCAGTCCACTGACTTTCGTCTAATAGAGGTTGCGACCAAATTTTTAAAAAATCTAGTTTTAATATATGTGAAACTCGATGATTCCCTGAGTTCATTAACCATAATATTATGGTAAAAATTTTATTCCCTTTAAAAATATTAAATATCAAAAGTAGGAGGTTCACAATGTGATTTTGTAACCTTAAATTTTTCAATTTTTTTAAAAACGCTATTATTAAAAAACTATTAAAAATTAGATGTTGGAACTCACCAAAAACATAAATCACTTTATTCTGCACAGAGGAACGAAAGAATTATTGCAAAAATTTATTATTTTTGGATGATATACGATTTTAAACAAAATTTTATTTAAATTTTCTCAAGATTTTTATTTACTTATAACTTTTTTGTTGGTGCTCCGAAAAAATTGAGGTTTTGCACAAAGATTTTTTATAATATTCTTTACCTTCTATTAAAATCTTACGAAGGTGTTTTGCTTCGTTTTGGAGATATTAATTTTCAAAATTTTTTATTTCAAAAGGTTAATTAAAAGACTTGAAGTTAACTGATCAATTTCAAATCGCTACATTTTAATATATTTTTATAAAAAATGGAGCAGTTTGAATTTGGTTAGTTAACTTCAAGTCGTTTAATTAACCTTTTTAAATAAAAAATTTTGAAAATCTCCAAAACGAAGCAAAACACCTTCGTGAGATTTTAAAGGAAGGTAAAGAATATTATAAAAAATCTTTGTGCAAAACCTCAATTTTTTCGGAGCACCGACAAAAAAGTTATAAGTAAATAAAAATCTTGAGAATATTTAAATAAAAATTTTTTTTAAAATCGTATATCATCCAAAAATAATAAATTTTTGCAATAATTCTTTCGTTCCTCTGTGCAGAATAAAGTGATTTATGTTTTTGGTGAGTTCCAACATCTAATTTTATAGTTTCGCTTTGGCGTCCGTCTGTCCGTAGTACACTCGTATGGTTTCCATGGCAACCGTTACCAAGACAACTGTTTCCAGGGCAACCGTTTCCATAGCAACCGTTACCATGGCAACAGTTCCCATAGCAACCATTACCATGGCAACCGTTACCAAGACAACTGTTTCCATAGCAACAGTTTCCATAGCAACCGTTACCATGGCAACAGTTCCCATAGCAACCATTACCATGGCAACCGTTTCCATGACAACCATTACCATAGCAACCATAGCAATTAGCAAATAATGTAATTATAAATTATTTATTATGTACAAATAACTTCTGATCTGAATTTAAAAAGCCACGAAACCCTATATGTAGGTGCTTTGCGCCTGCTTCTTTTCCTGATTTTTTAATAATAGCGTTTTTAAAAAAATTGAAAAATTTAAGGTTACAAAATCACATTGTGAACCTCCTACTTTTGATATTTAATATTTTAAAAGGGAATAAAATTTTTACCATAATATTATATGGTTAATGAACTCAGGGAATCATCGAGTTTCACATATATTAAAACTAGATTTTTTTAAAATTTGGTCGCAACCACTATCAGACGAAAGTCAGTGGACTGCGACCATAATAGAAATTTGAAATATAGTTCTTTTCAATCGTCATACTTAAAGAAAAGAAGCAAATAATTCATTTATTAAAGTTTACTTATTGAAATAGTAATAGTTAGTGAAATAGTTTTCTACTAACAATTAATCTTTTTTGACTAAAAATTAGTAAAAAATGGTAAAACCTCTTATATTTACGAGAATATCTTGAATTGAAGAAAATCTAATCTTCCTATATTACAAAAAGATATCGCCGCCGCCACTGTTTCAAGAATTCTGGACCTAGGAGGGGGGAGTCCCCCCTCCTAAATTTTGAGGTTATGTTCGTTTTAAGACTCTGAATATAGCCGCAAGTCCCCTCCCCCGCCAAAAAGACCTAAATTTTGAGGTTACGTTCGTTTCAAGGCTCTGAATATAGCCGCAAGTCCCCCTTCCCTCCTCTCATTTCCCCTCCTCCGCCAAAAATTGACCTAAATTTTGAGGTTATGTTTGTTTTAAGACCCTAATAAAGCAGTAAGTCCTTCCCCCTTCCCTCATCTCTCTCTATATTTCCCGCCAAAAATGACATAAATTTTAAGGTTATGTAAATTTCAAGACTTTCAATATAGCCGCAAGTGAAGGTGGAGTTTCCGCCAAAAATGACTTGAATTTAAAGGTTATGTTCGTTTCAAGACTTTTTAATATAATTTATTGGTTTTTAGGCAATATCATTGAAATTATTTTTAAAAATAATTTCTTAATGTCGATTTTAATTTATTTAATTATTTATTTATTATTAATTTAATTAATTTATTAATTGAAATTTAATAATTTTAATAATATTTATTCAGATTTCAATGAATTTGTAATAATAATTCTTTGAAATAGGTGGTTCATTTGGAAAAATAAGATCAATGGAAAATTAAAAAAAAAATGATTAAAATAGGGGGGCGTAGCCCCTCTAGTATTATACATAAATAAATATATGAAAGTGTGTAGAAAAAGTAAAAAATTGGTTTTGTATAAAATATGAATACTTTATTTTGAATCGACTGTGCGCTATTGCGACGCACAAGATATGTACAACATGTCGGGCATTTACAATAGTGGCGAATTAACTTTAAAAGATACGCTAGAATGTGTTAAATTTAAAACGATGCATTATACGATTCCGTGGTCTAGTAAAAACTAGTCAGAATTGAGAAACAAACAACGCAAAGAAACGTGTTTGTTTTCTCATTTTTCCACTTACAAATTTAAATCATATTATTGATCATTGTCTCAAAATCAGGTAATTTTTTACTTGATCTCGAGTAAATACGAACATACTTCAAATGCTTTTTATCAAACTTTTATCAAACAGTTTGTAAAACGCTTTTGATCTGAGGTAATGTCAGCGGTTGAATCTTATTTTTTCTGGTTGTAAACTTAAAAAAAAAAAAACGCATTTTCAATTGTTTGCTTCACACATAATATTCGATCCGCGCACAAGCGTACTCTTTAATTTAAAATTAGAAAACTAAAATTGGAACTGAACTTTGACCTTTTTTTGGATTTATCTAGTTAATTTTAAGAAACTCGAGCTCTTTTACAACACACATATTTCCATGCAATGCGGAGAATGTATAAAGTTTTTTTTTTAAGAGCAAGAGCAATTAATCGCAGTTTTAAGAATCGTGTCGCTGTTATTAGTAATGTCGGCACTTGACGCATGCGATAGAATTCTTTTTTTTTTTTTTTTCATTTTCAACGGGTAAGGGGGGGGAGAGATACATTACAAGAATGAGTGAGAAATTAAATGACTAGATCTTGAAAAATCGCGCTTGAATTTTCATCAATACTTTATCAACGTCGTTTCAATTCCAATAATATATTAGACGTGAATCAGATGATAGAAAATCACCCAAGTCCCGATTTTGAGAAATGGCGACACGACTCGATTAGAATATTATTGTCGAAAGAAAAAAAAAATCGAGTTTGGCATTTTCGTGACCCCCCCTTTTTACAAATCACGAATTCTTAGTATCGCGGCGATAAAACTATACATATTTCTCTCTTATACACCACGAACATTTTTATCAACATTTTTTTTTCACCCATTCAAAAGAGCATACATATTTAACGGCGATTCCGGTGCTCGAGATATTTTTTTTTTTATATTATTTCATTCCTATTCATTGTACTAGAATTTGGTTGACAGTAAATTATGAACTATAACTAGTTTTTATCGTGGCGTCGTGCTCGCTACGTAATAAACCGAAAAGAACCAATTATTGACAAAAAAAAAAAAAAAGAAAAAAAATACAAATCGAAAATTTCTATATGAAACTTAAATGAATTAAAAATAAAACAAAAATCATTGCACAGAATTATTGTGTTCACGAGCGCAACGCCATATTTGAAACTCGAGTTGTTGACTTTTTGATTCATGTGAAAAAAAGTATTATTTTTTTATTCAACAGTGTAATTTATTATTTTATAATAATATCAATATATTAAATAGTTTATAACTATTTGTATATTTGACAGATAAAAAAAAAAATTACAATTTTCATTTTTTCAAAATGAAAATTCTTTCTAATTCATTTTTGCTTTAATGAAAAATTAAAATGTTTTAAAATACTTTTCATTCAAACTTTTGGTTTTTATTTTTAAAATAGGAAGTTTTGTTTTTAACATTACTTCACATTTGACAATTTCTTTTATATTTAAATTGTAATATTTATTTTACATTTTTTTTTTCTTTCAATTGTTAAATGTAATTTTTCGTGTTTTTTTTTTTTATTTTTTTTGCAAATCTAATTTAATGTTCAAATTAGTAATTGCATTAACTATAATTTTTTAAATATTATGAAAATATTCTTTTTACAAATAAAAACTTTTTTATAAATGAAAAAAATTTGTTCACAAAAGAAAATTTTTTTTTTTAAATAATTTTTTTTTTATAAATATATAAATCGAAAAACAATCAACTCGAGCGTGTAAATTTAATTGCTAACCAGTCTATTGTGGTCCCCGCGCTGCTAAGACTTGACTATGAATTGCTGCTTGCGCATCGAAGAAGAGCACAAAGAACGAAAAAAATTTGCTCTTTTGCTTAAAATCTACGCCATTCGAACTGCTTAAAATTAGCGAAAAAATGTCGGTCATTTTCTCAATTAAGTACTAAGAAATATTTTTTGTTTCTCGCACTCCAGACCCCGTGAGGGTCTTTTTTTTTTTTTTTATACAAAACTTAAAAATAAAACCACAACGCTCAAAAATCGTTCTCACTCACGCAATAGTGCTGTCTCAATCGCATTCCATCTTCTTCTTTTTTTACAAGTGTAGATTTACTTATATATTAAGTCTTACAGTTACATTCTTACAATATGACGGTGTTATTTACAAAAATTTTCTGCGTTTCATTTGCATTTTTTTTCTTTTCCTTGTCGTTTTGTTGCACTGTATTTTTATTTATATATATATATTTTATACGATCGCTGCTTTTACATTAGAGTCTTTTTAATTGAATGTAAAATGGAAAGTAATATTTACTGAGAACATTTTCCACAAGCTTCGCTCTCAACCCGTTTTTCAAGTATTTAAAAAGCAAAAATCAACATGTTATGAGAAGAGAAAATAAAAGCGGAATACTTTTGAAATAAAACTGAATAGACTGAAAAATGGCTTTGACTTGGTAATGGATCTCTCTTCACTAACACATTAATATATTCGCTTTGGCTCGAAATTAGAAAGCCAAATTATTCGGATTTACACAGCTACACTTAAAAAATATTGTAGAATCCTGAGAAAGAAAAAGATATGAAATTCAATTTTACAGTTTTAGTTTCTCGAGCCTTTCAATTTTCGGGATTAAAATTCAATGGACAAAAAGAAAAGTACGCAGAAGGTAAACAATAGTATCAAATATATGATCCTGATAAACTTATTAATTCGTTGCTTCCTGCCTAACTAATATTTTTTTTTTTCTATATATACACGCGCTAAATGACTCGATATGTCGACTATTAATGAATTTTTTTTTTTTGTTTTCGCTTTCTTCGTTAGTTTGAAACCGTGATACAAGATAATAATAATCGTCGGCTAAAAATTAAGTATACTTAATTAATTAATGCGTAAAGCGTATTGCATTGCCTTCCCCCAGAACGCCTCCCACATGATGATTTATAATTTTTTTTTCTTTTTTTTTTGGTTTTTTCGGCAATTTAAAAAAAAATCGCAAAATTTTCTTACACAGATATTTATGGACATCTTCAATTCTTCGAAATTAAAAACATTTCTTCTTATTGAAAAGTTTTAAAAACCACCAGGGAACCAATCACAATTCAGGAGGCGTTGCTTTTGTGTGCACTAAAAATTCGATTGTGATTCACACCACACACCTTGGCTTCTTCTCATTTTTTTTTTTCAGTCTCCTTCGCTCAAAAATTTTTCACATTTTTTTTTGTTTCCTCCTTCAATAGTGGAAATAAAATGAATATAAAAGAAAAGACAAAAATCCCTTGTCAGGATACAAGATTGTTGTTTAGAAATGAACATCTCGAACGTCTGTTGGTGTGCCAGCTTTCTCGTGCTCCAAAATCTTGTCCTGACTAGAGATCTGGTCCCCCAAAGGCCTTTGTTGTGACGCCATGGTGCCTGAGGAGGATTGTGATGCTGCTGCTGCAGTAGCCACCTGATGAGAGTTACCGCCTCTCGCTTCTGTGACCATTTCCTCAATCTGACCCAGACATCCTTGGAGATAATCCTGTTATGAAAAAAGCATGACATTAGTTAGGTTTTACTTTGTCTCGAAGAGAAGATATTATTTCTTTTTTCGAAAACGAAATTTTACGGAAATGAATGACTTAGTGAAAAAAAAAATTGCTTTCTTTATAAAGAAAAAAAAAATATGGAATCTGCAAAAAACTATATTGTTTCTTAGATATAAAAATTTTTATTTACTTCTTTGTTATATTCTACGGATCTAAATTTTTAAATAGCATAAAAATGGCAGATTCGTGAAATTTCAGGGAAAGTAAATTATTATTATTATTATTATGCAAAAATTGTGAGCTTCTTTAAATGCTTCCCAGCCTTGAATATTCTGGGAAGTCTTATTATTTTTTCTTATACTTTTTTTTTTGGCAGCAAATGCCTAAAAGAGAGGAAGGACTTCCTGCTCTTGAGTCTCGGGCAGTGTCTGAAGAAAATATTGCATTTATGGGGCATGAACCCCATGCCAAGTCAATTCGTTTGGGTTTATTTATAATACCGACAGGGCATCAAGAAGACCTATCGTAGATTCTAGAGACGCCTGTTGAATGTTGAATCTTCGACAGAACACAGGATAGAGAGAGAGAAAGAGAGAGAAAGAAAGAGTTGCGAGAGCCGGTGGTTTTTGCGAAAACATGTGCTCGACACCTGTTGCCCTCTTCCTTCATATTCTCCACGCTTCTTTCTCTCTCATTCTCTCTCTCTCTCTTCCCGTGATGTTTTTTGCTTCTCGTCGCCAAGACTCATGAATGGCTTGTTTTCACACCATCTTTTTCAATCATTTATAAATTATACACGCAATCATAATTTTTAAAATGCCAGTTTTTTTTTCAATCATTATCGAAAACCACGTTTATCTTATTCAACAATATTTTTCATTTAAAAACGTATGTTTTCCAATTTTTAAAAAAAATTATAATCTCGAAAACAATACTTAATAATAATAATTTAAATAAGTGGTGACTATATATTAAGAAAATAATAAAAAAAAAATAGTCATATTTAAATATTATAAAATAAATAATAAGTTTTTATAATATTGATATTTCGATTGATAGAGACGTTTGCCTTAATGTAAATATTTCAAATTCTGAAATTTTTTCGCATCTGCCATTTCTCTTTTTTTTTTTGTCAACGTTTATTAACGAAAATAAAATACATACTCGTTCGATAGCTGTTATGCGGGTAAGTTCATCCAGGAGGTAGGAGAGTCCAAAACCACTTTTTCGCGTCCAATCGAGACCGTGAAGAGCAGCAGCGATACTGGCAGCGGCAATTATACTTGGAGTGTACATCAAAAATTTGAATTCTGAAAAAAAATTAGAATTTTTATAAAAAAAATAAAAATTTACATTGTATATTAATTTTTGAAATTTTCTAACTTTTGAGATTCGAATATCAATTTTGAAAAATTGGAAAACTCAATTATATACAAGAAATAAGATGGTATATAAGGTCCTTGAAAAATTTTTAAATGTTTTGAGAAACAGCAAGCTATAAATCTTTGAAGGTAAAAGTGAGTCACACGGGCAACATGGAGTGAAAGGTGAATCCTTTTTTTTTCAAAAGACTCAGTATTCATAGAAGCAAAACTTGAAGTTCAATTTTCACTTTTTCATGAGGATTTTTCTACCTGGAGAAAAACTCTATAGAAACAAACATTTGGAACCTACAAGAGTCCGCAAGATTTACAAGGACACAACAAAATCTCGAATTTTTGACAAACGTATTTCGAAGGCCATGAGGAACAAAAAAGTATTTTTTTCTTTAGAGAAATGGCGATAAAACAATTAAATTTACTTAATTTTCGACAAATTTTTCCTATTCTTAACTTATTGAAATAAATTCGTGGCTATAATGTTATCTTTTTTGGAATAATTTATTCTTGAGTTAAAACAATTTTGAACAGTAGTGGATAACTGTTTAAGTACGAAAAAATAAAAAAAAAAGGAGAATATTCGTAATACCAGTTAAAATTTTATGTTAGCAACTTCACCATTGTGGTTTTGAGTTCGGTCAGACATCGATATATAAAAGTATGTACCTGTGAGGCTTCTTTAGTACCCGCCGCCTTTTTTCACGACTTGGTCTGTGGGGAACACTTAATGCTCGTGAGTAACGTGCAAATATGCGATATGTGAGCCAACAGCACCACATTTCCCTAGAAACGATATGTATATGTATATATATCTCGTCGTCTCATGTTGAAATATAACTTGAATTTGTCGCCAACTTGCATTCCTTTTATGATTAATAATGGTCAAATTGTAATCATATATCATAAAATCGCAATATTTAATGAATATCGAACATTTTAATTTATTAATGAATTATCATTATTAATTTTCCTTGTTCTAGATGATAATTAAGTTTCTCGATTTTTATTTTCATAAATTATAGACTTATTTTTAAAATAAACAATATTGAAGTGAAATTCACATTTGTATCAAATGATAATTTAATATTGACTAATTTGAATTTGACTTGATCCGTGAGATAGACTTTTCTGCACTCAGAAGCACCAAGTGAAAAGATACGTGAGGAATGTGGCATATATATATAAGTGTCACCAACATGCGATAAGATGTGGGCTCTTTAAATCATCCTCTATATCTCTAGAAACAGATTCTCTTCTCACGCGCGTTTATATACGAGGAAGTAAATTCGATAGTCTCGCTGCTCGAAAAACAGACTTTTTTAGAATAATGTATATTATTACATTTTCATGTATGTAGTTTTGTCCTTAATATATCCAATCAATTATACTCGTTTTGTATATTTATTTTACAAAATGCAAATAAAAAAATCGAATAAGCCGACACCAATAATGTTGTAATATTTACTGCATAATTTTGAGGCAAGCCGGAAGTAGAAATCAGAAATAATTTGATGAGGCGACAGTCGGTCGCGGATACCACAGTCACTGGAGTAAGTGAGACCCAATTACAGATGCGCATATTTTTATTTCAATACACGCTTGGTCACCGTTAATTTACGTAGATATTTCACAAAAACGACTTCTAAAATCGATAAAAATTCACCATATAGCATTACTTAGAAAAAATATTCAGAGCAAAAAAACTACGTTAAAAAAATTATTTTCAAAAAATAATTGCTAATAATTTTGTTGATCAAAATTTATTTTAATTAGAAGGTTTCGTATGAATAAAACGATAACATTCGTAACATTGTTGTTTTAATAAAGGTTTACTCCAACGTTTCGAAATCTAAATGATTTCCTTTTCAGGGAGTCTATCAAAATTACAATAAATTGTCAAATAAATAAATACAAAAAAATAATTAAAATACAGTGAAACATCAAAAATAAATACAGTCAATGATAAATTAAATACAATAATAATAATGAAAATAGAAATAAAAACAAATACAATAAAAATAAGAATAAACACAATAGATAGTAAAAAATAACAATAATAAGCAATAAATACAATCAATTTAAAATAATCTTACCAAATAAGAAACATATGTCAAGTCATAGAAATAATGGTCAATTGCGGTGTCAAATTAATAAAAAAAAAAAAATTTATTTTAAAAAAACTTTTGAGTTGCAATAATTTTAGTGAGATGAGAACTCACGTTACTGAACAAGTCGAAGGGAGGGGGAAAGAAACTCCTACTACTGTCGATTAGCCGCGTCAAGCAACGAAACTTAAAATAGATTTAAAACGAAAACTTTCCATTATGGTAAAAAAAAAATTGAAAAGTTTTTGAATTTTTCACTCAAATACACGTGTGTATTATAATTGCGTGCGGTTTAAAGGATAAAACTGATTCTACAAAACGTTTTGAATATGTAAACTCGACAGTAAAAAAAAAAATTCAAGCAAGATGACAGCAACTTAAAGAAACTCAATTAGGAGGTCGTTTGTAGGCAAATTCTTTAGGCGCCTCGGTTTTTGTACCTTGATCGTTATCCGTGACCCAGAGCCGGGGCTTGTTGTTGGTTTGAGTGGCTAGTTTGCTTCGTGAGAAACAATCATTTTCGAAGCTACAAAGCAGGTCTGCCAAAACCCAACTGGGCAAAGAAAGAATAAGAAGAGCCCAACTCAGGTTCTTTCTAGGTTTTTGCCACCGCGACTCTGTAATAACCACGAGCGGCGCAACTGCGTGAAGCAGATTTTGCACGGTGGAAGGAGACGGGGAGCCCGCCATAGACGTTGAGGCATTTAAAAATGCTATGATCTTCCAAGGCACCATCGCGGGTTCTCCTCTCTATATGTGGATCCCGAATGAGCCGCGCGGCCAGTTATTTCGCCGAAAAAGATTTCTAATTCGCTGTCCAATCCATACGCAAGGGGCATTAATCGAAATGAAAGATTGTTAGAAATGGACTACAACCAAATATTATATCACATTATGCAATTACATTTATTTCGTATCATTATCAATAGCATCATCTCTTGATTAAAAAATCATCTTTATTTTCACTTTTCGATACTATAGCGTCTTCTCTGTTCCACTTTCAATTTTCTCTTTCTTGAATTTGTCTTTTTTTTGATTTTTCAAACAGATAATTTGCGTTTTATATTTTATAATATATAATAATAGTAAAGAATATTTCGCTGACGGTGCTTTCGTATAATTATAAGAAGCAAGTTTTACTTGCGTAACTTTCTGCGAATTTAGAAAATCAAGATTCAGAGGACGAGGCAAATCTGCAAACTTGCCATTTCGACTTTCGGATAGGAATATTTTAAAAATAAAACTCTTGCGCGAGAATAGAGTATATATAACGGGATTCGGATATCTTGCTTTGTTCTGACAATAATATGGATAGAAATTATTAGTTTTCAAGGTTTACCAATTCATTTATTATAATATAAAGAATCTTTTTTGTTAAATAAATTCAAAAATAAAATTAATAAATAAAAATTCAATTTTTTTCCTACAGTGAAAAATTGGATTAATCATTTCTTACCTCTAACGCTAAGTGCAATGAATGTTTGGGCGTGCCTCAAGATCATTGTGGTATCCCATATTTGATGATCAACTGGCAAGCGCCTAAGAATGTGAAGAAGAAAGTCTCCCGGTGTCACTGCAGATAATTCCCATTTCAGTTTTGAAACCACCAGCTGCTCCCACCTCTGTAACACAAATTTAAAAATTTGACTCTTTTTTAATATTTTATTTATTATTTTCCAAAATTCTTTCATTTTTACAAAGCTATAGTAAAATTTTAAATTCTATAATAAAATTTCTCTATAGTATTTGTTGTTTTTTTTCAAATAGTTCGATTTTTAAATATTTTATTCCAAATAATATGCTATACCAATAAATAATTCGCAGGAAAAATTCGTTCAATTTCTGGAATAGAAAAAAAAAATACTGTAAAACGTGACTCAATATTGACAAATCGGCTGGCCCTCGGTAATAATTTAGCAAATAAAAAAATCAAATATTGCAAAAGAGACAAATAAATGCTTCCCTCGCCGTTAAAAAACAGCACATAATTTGTGACTCAATTTATTTTTTTAACAAAGAATCAATGTCAATTACCCTCAAATTACAGTAGACGCGCGATACTAAATCGTGCGATTTATTACAACGATGGGATCGTAAAGACCGTTAATTAATTCGCTCGATACGCACATCGAGAGAGAGAGAGAGAGGGAGAGAGTCCCCGTCAGTCGAGTTAAATCTAAAACTTCTCAACGAGCAAAGTCGTATATTTTTTCTCATAGCGTGAATGCAAATTACCAAAAGGGGACAGGAATCCGCTGCACATGTCTGGTCCAAGTTAACTTAGAATGAGAAGAGGGATGGGGAAGGGGATTGTGAGAGATAGGGAGAGCACACAATCTTTCGTATATCGCATATACACGTACTTCGTTTGCTACTTTGTCTCCAGTTGAGCGTTCCTTTTAAACTTTTAAAGCCACGCTCGTTAAAGAGCCGACACAGTCCGCACATATATACCTATATATATATATATGTATATAAAAAGTATATACATATATATATATTGAGTAAAGCTGCAGGAACTGAAAGGAGGGGGACCCTTTCGATAAGCAAAAAGAGAGGGATCGTCTCGTTGAGCATCTTCGTGTATTTATTGTGCGAAAGCATTCGTAAAACAGGTTTGTCTAAAAACGAATCGTTTTCACTCCCCAAGTTAATTCCAGCGAGTGACGTAATTTCCTTGTGAGTTGCGGCGCTAAAGGCTCGTGCACGATAACACTCTCGTGGGAAAATCTACTCCACTTTTTTTATCAAAATCTTTAGCGCAGTCAAAAGTCAATATTGATATCCAGCATGTTAAATTATTTTATATACGAATAAATTCAAAAGACTTTGTTCATAATCTATCAACATGGAGTTTAATTCGTGTCGTCAGAACATTTCTTTATAGTTATTTTTTAATTTCTTTGAAATTTTCAAAAAACAAAAATGTAATAAAAAATCGCAACAGAAAGAATCGAACCCCTTCCGTTAAATTACAAACAACGCACTTATCCTCCGAGGGGCCATCCATAAATTACGTAACACGATTTTATTGGAATTTTGAACCCCCCCCATCCCTATGTAACGCAACGTAACAAAATAATTTACCCCCCCCCATCCTTGTTACGTAATTTTTCAAAATAGTTTCATTTTTGTTTTTCTAAACAAAGTTTATTATTTTTGACTGTAATATTCATATCGCACAATAGTAATAAAAGAATTAAAAATTAAATATAGAAAACTTGAAGATAAGTAATTTTATTGATCACAGTGAACAATTAGAATTATAACATTCATTTTTTAATACTAATTTTACATTTAGAATACTTAGCGGAGTTAAGAACTTTTAAAATGTTGTTACATTTCTGCTTTTGAATCAAATTTAAATAATTTGTTATTAGTTCTTCGGCTTCTTCAACTAAGTCATCTTGCGACTTATATAAGTATCTTTTAGATTTTTCCAAATAATATTGACTTCTTCCTGTGCCTTACCATGTAACGAATGTAATAATAAAATAAAGTGTTGGATTAGCTCGCCGGATCAGGGTTCGTTTTTAAGCGACGATATTACATTAAAATTACAGACACATTTCAAAAAAAAAAAACAAACGTTTATTAACAAAAAAAGAACGATGACATAACCTTAAAAATTTACATGCTCAATAAATATACTACGCGATTACAATTTGAATACGAAATGGTCGAAATACGGATTTCATTACTCCACGTTACGTTACGTTACGTTCCCTACGTCGGAGGAACGGAAGCGACGACGAACAACTACGCCAGGGGTTACGTACAAAACGGGAACGGGAGATCACGAGATCGCGGTAAAACCGCTTGGAGACGAGAGAAATGCTCTCTTTAAAATACTTCGGAGTAATGCTCCTTAATACTTGGGGAAATGCCCCAGTGTGAGGGAAATGCCCTCACCGACTCTGTGAACCACAAGAGTCTCGATTTCGTTTGACATTGAAAACCATATTTATTTATCATTGAGAGTTGTACATTAAAGTTAAACAAAAATTTCTTAATTCTAAGATATATATATTCAGCGCCTGTTATTTTAAGTAACTTATCTGAATGTTTTTTATTTTATTAAAGTTTTTATATTTAATAATATTTATATATTCTTTGTTTGGGTAAAAAGGTAGAATAATTCAAAAACCCCATTTGAAAACTTTTTAAACTTAAAACTAAAACTATAAAAGAAATGGAGTCTCGATTTCCTGCGGGAGTGCAGCTTATATAGCCGAACGGTGACCGAAACGCTTGCGAGAGAGCTCAGCGGTATAGCTCTCGCGGCGCGATCGGGTACTACGACATACTTCGCAGTCGGTTACATTTTATCGACATGGGGTATATATTTTTATCGATGTGGGGAAAATATTTATTACAAATATTTACCCGCGAATTTTCAAACAATCTTTACAACCAGGAGTCTTTGTCAAATGAGATTTCTTATAAGCGTCAAATAATCGCTGATAGATATTATTAATATCAGGTTTCATTTTGCATAAATAAAGATAATATCACACTAGTCATTTAAATCATCAACAACAATAAATAATAACAAGTATGAAGAAAAATCACGACAGATAGTCAAGATTAACGATTCCGAAAAGATATCGAAATAATCGATTATACCAAAAATCGATTCTATAGCGAGTTTTGTTAAATGGAGCTAGGAGCGGTTTTTTTAAAAATTAGTAATTTTAGAAAAAAATTAATGTTAAAAATATTACGTAACAATGAAGATTACCCCCCTCCCTCATGTAATAAATGATAACATTTCCTCGAACCCCCCTCCCCCTAAACGTGTTACGTAATTTATGGATGTCCCCTGATCTAAAGGGAAGAGAAAATTTCTCAATCACTCTAACAGGAAAAACAGTTAAATACATGTAAACCTGATATAGGAAAAGGTATTTAATGCTTGTTGAACATTTTCTCTTTTTACCAGGAATAAAAGCAACAAATCGTGAATGGAATATCTTTAAGTATATGTATATGGAGAGTCTTGTCGAGACAATCAAAAGGGATACAAGTTGGATAGAATGTTCACGAACAAGGACAAGGGTGAGAGAAGAGATGAGGGGGGGGGGTTCAAGGTGCAGACACTCACAGACCGTGAATGTACTAGATTGTTAAGATCGGCGTTATATACGCGTGCGTACGCAACGTACCGTGGCATATACGCGAGAGATGCTATGTACTCGGACCGTAACGAAGTCGGTGAAGTCTTTGTTTCATTGACGAAGAAAAAGAAGAGGGAGAGTCAGAAACTACTATATATATATATATATATACGTTATTCTTGCTGATCCACCCAGAGAAACGGAAAGTCACTTCTTCAAGTGGTGGATGGAAGGGATTGTCAAGGGGAGAGAGGGGAAGTTCGAGACATGAAGAGAAAAGAAGGTCTTACGTTTGCGCATGTCTCGTACTATGTAGTGTGTATATAGTACGCGATTCACAAAGGGGGAAAGAAAAAACTTCCTCTATTTCCGGCTTTGCGTCTATCGCGCCACTCGGATATCCTGTCTTCATATAAAGAAATCGAGCATGCAGTGAATGCTATGAATCATTTTCAGTTGCAAAAAAAAAAAATTATTCAACTATTTATTTTTTTTTATTACTTTTTCTATTTCAAATAATAATTTTCACAATTTAAATATATCGCAAAATATTATTCACTCGAATGAATAATTTTTGCGTCATCTTGAAATATGTAATTGGAAAGGAAGAAGATAGGGTCATGTCGTGGGATATGCGAGAGAGCAGGTGCGGTGTCGAGGAAGGAGAAAATAAAAGGAAAAAAAGGACATTTGTCTGTTTCGCATGCACGCGAACGATTGTCATCATACGCAAGTAGTATACCTGCTTCCATTATAAAGACATCCTAGAAGGACATTAATATTATCATTGTGCCCTCGGTATAAAAAAAATATCAATTTTTGTTTACACACGATCATATTTTAAACAAATTGCTTTTTTTATTATTTTAAAATAAACGAAATTTCTTCAATTTTGTCAAAAAAGTATTTAAACAATTTTTTAAATTTAATTTAAATAAAATTATGAAAAAATATTCATCTTGAAATTAGAAAAAATGTGAATACAAATAATTTTATACGAAAATATATTAAATAGAATAATAAACTCGAATTCTGTAACTTTAAATAGGAACAGCTGCTGTTCTTTATGTTCTGTAACCAAATTATTAGTTGAAGAGGGGGGATGTGTGTGTGTCTGCCGGCTGTTCGCCAAACTCAGAGAAATGCAAAGATTCTTTATGCAATTGTTGGTGAACAAAAAATATCGAAAATATTGTATCAATCAATTGAAAATAATAATTTTGAATGGAGAAAAAATTAATTTTATAAATTATGTATCGGAACATAATTTTATTAATTTTTATACCGTTTACATGTAAATAAATGTATATATTAATTCAAATAATAAGTATTAATATATTTACATATAAATAGATTAGTAATATTAAATATTTATTCAAAAAAAATCACTTCCTTTCCAATTTTTAAATGTAAAATCAACAACTGTTTGGTACCAGCTGTCCATTTGAGACCCATCAGATTAACAGTATAGAAATTTTAAGCAGCCCCGCCTGCCAAGCGCGTAG